CCCCAACTACATATCACATTGCTGAGCCAGCTAAGCCAGATGAAGTCTTTGGGATTTACCACAGCTCAGCTCAGCCTTACGTGCTTATAAACTACCCGTTAAGAGACAGTGAGACTGCAGCACCTCTCCGGAGACGAAGCAGACCAAAGTAATATATTGCTGGCTCTTTCCCAAGTAAGAGCTAGACGGGGAGTCTGTAACTCAACGGGCTTTCATGCGTGCAGTCACGGCAAGACAAAGTTAAGAAAATTGAAAATGACAACTGTAAGAACAAATTTAAAAGAAAAAGATTTTTAGAATAAGAGTAACTGACAAAATTTAGAAGGATAAAAAACATTTCAACGATGTTGAAGTAGACAGGCATCAAAGGATAAGTGTCAAACGATGATCAAGCGTTCTGTGGATATTATGTCTTTTGGTATTTGGCTTTTAAACGTCTGGTAATTCTTTTTATAATATGAATAATAAAATGTGAATGCATTTTAGCAATAACAATTCTATTATAATACCAATACACATACCTTCTTTCTGAAGTTTCTTTTAAAGGAGAAAAATAAAATATTTTAGAAGCTAACAACGCTTAGATGTATGGCCCTTTGGTTATATAGGTCATAAATGTAGTGTGTGGTTGCTATATTTGTAAGGCATTTTCTTCCTCCATCCCGCATGTCTTCCTGTTCTAATTGTAAGTATATCTGGCTAGCAATCTGGAAGCACTGATTTTGAATCCCAGTGACCCCAACGCACATTTTCCAGGTTTTCTGCTTCGATAAACTTAATAATTTTGCAGATTAATTAATCCAAATGTCAGAAATATCTCCCTTTGTGTGGTTGATACCTTTTTAACCTATTAAAATGGCCTTGCAATACCGACTAATAGCTTGCGAAATGTTTCTTTGGGTGAAGAAAATAGATCCTCCTTCTAGATTATATAAAAAATATTATAACTTATCAAGATCGAGTCAAGTTGCAAGATCTTTTTTTTAATTCTAAGTGCAATCAGTTTAGCTTTATCTTAAGCAATCATTTCTCATAATTGGTTTCTTTCAAGCAAACTTACAGGTATGAGATCATGAATTTTCTGCTTTTATCAGTTTAATAAGACAAACAAGAGCAAAAACTTCGTTTATCACATTTACTGTCTAACAATTCCGAAGGTTACTAGAGAAAAATTAATTTGTAAGGCAATTGTTGAGAAAACATTCTCTGTTGTAACTATACCCAGATAAAATAAAATAAAAAAAGAAGAAACACGATACATCTAACCGAATCTTTTCAATAGTATTGCGAGAACTGAAAAAGAATGACAACCTTTAAGCAAATAATATCAAGAATATTCCTATAAGTTCAAAAAGGACACAGAAAACGTCATTATTGATAAGACTGCTGCAGTTTCCACTCTTTCCAGTGGGAATTTTATTGATTAAGTTGACTCAAAACTTGGAATATGTGGATAGCATGAAAAATACATTTTAAATTGTTTAATTTTTTCCTTCAATTCTTGTTAGAATGTTATTCACAAACTTTTAAACTTATAATTTTATTTCTTACATTATAAAAGAGAATACAATAATTTTATTCAGTAATTGCTGAAACTGTTTAAATTTGAAAACATTGCAAATATGTTTATGCACGTATAAAGGTTCTTCGTTTTAAATTATTTTCTAATTTAAAGCATGTTGTCTTTGACATAAAATTTTCTATTCAATTACAGTGATCTTTTGGATCACAACCTTGTAACATCATAAACAAATTATCCAGACAAAAAAAAAAAAAAAAAGTCTAATGACAAACGGTGTCTCGAGTTAGAAACACTCATATCGTAAAAAATAATTTTCAGTAGTGTTTCCCGATAACCTTTGACACAGAATTAGCACTCGGGGACTTAACAGAAACACAATTTCAATAGTTTCCATTGCTTTACCCTCATTAATAAGGCCAGACAGCCATTCTTATACTACCATGAATTCACTTGGAGGAAATTATTAGTGCATTGATGTTGCAGGCTTTGATACTTTTGGACATTTTATATAATTTACCTGTTCTGGATTGAGGGAGTAAAAGGGAGAGGCGGCAGATAAGAAAATATAAATCTTATTTTAAACATATGAAAAATATTCTGTAATCGTTAATGGTCATATAAAATTTAGTTATATTTTTGCCGACTAATTTAGCTCCTATTTCCTCCTTATTGATTTCAGGTTGATAATGTTCATCTCCATTTGAATGAATTAAAAAATAAATAAAGTTTCCAGAAGCAAAAGGAGAAGATGCTTATTTGTTCTCTTTAACATTCGCCCAATCAGAGCTTTAAAGTAATCAAAAAGAGCAATAAAATAATCTATCTCGGCCTAGCAAATGAATCAACAAAGCGCTTTTAGGTTAATTGCATTCATTGAGCATGATCTGAGACGTTATTTAAAGTAATTTTTTGTTTTCAGATTTTTATTATATTTTATATCCGAGCTTAATGCATCGAATAAGGTGATAGTAATGCCAAAAATATAATGCAAATATCGGACCCATCAGAACCGCTTTAGTCGGTTTTTGCAATGGATTGCAGCAAAGTACGTACAACCGAGCATAAAATTGCAAAACTTTAGAAGTGCACTACTTTGACAACATTAAACATCAAGCATCTGATAGCCTTGCACTTGGCGAAATGAATAATATTAAGCTATGGAAAGATTCATACATATATATATATATACATATATGCTTGGTTGGATTCATACAAACTAGTCTTATAACAGCAACTCCTATTAAAAAGCATATTATTGGCAGTTATATCATTTCATTGAAAATTCTTTCACAACCGTATTATTAGCATATTATTGATAGTTATATCATTTCATTAATAAATTCTTTGATAACGGCCTGTGGAACGCTGATATATGATTTCTCTTCGCGAGCAGGAGCAACTAGTCAGAAGTTACTGGAACCAGGATAGGATCTTCTTTTTTGTCTTATCGTATAGCTTTAATCTTGCAAGAATAGAATACTTTTTGGTGGCTGTTGATTCTATAATCCATAGTTCTATTTGGGAGAGCTATGTCTGCATTTATATTCGATTCAAATTAAAACTTCAAGTAAGTCTTAATGACTTTTTATTTACACACATCTTTATAATTACAGTATTTACATGGTAGTTGATAATTGCTTTAAGACAGTGCATTTTAATTGTTTTCTAAATCCGAAGTTCGTCTTTTCGCTCCTCCGAGCAGTTCGAATCTAGTCTTCTTCCCAGATCTCAGTTAGAGGAAAAGAAAGAAAGAATAGAATGCCTGCCATCTAGTGGAAAGAATTGAACAGGGGCTGTTAAACGAATCTTTCGAAGAAAAGTCTTCCTTAATGGATATTTAATTAATGGTAGACGGACTGACCCACCGGACGAAGGACCTCCGTCCCAGGTCCTCAATATGTGGGACCCATTCAGAGTTTGGGGTATCCCCCGTCCGTGGGACCTCGTTCTCGCGGGCGCAATCCCCGCAGTCCCCGCCCGGCTTTTACGAAGCATTGGGCAGTACATGAACGTTCCCACCTTGCCGCCGGGCACCACTCCATTGGCAAAAAAAGGTGCACTGTCCGCTTTGTCAGTCCCCGTCACGAGAATTGAATGGGTCAACACCCCGGGAACTTAGTCGACAAAATGTACTTTATAGCTCCACAGTACCAGTATGGGAACAGACACGACAGTACCAGTACGGTCTCTGCCAAGCCTGAACCAACCTGAGTACAATACTCGGGCTCTAGTCCTGTGAAGTCAAATTATATACCCCCGTGGTTGAGATTGCCTGCCTAGGTACAGATCCTAACCAGTACTTCCCAGGAATTCGCCTGAGTCAACCCCCGGAGTGGGGATGGTAAACGGACTGTTTGTTTTTAGCCTGATCATTTCTAAAAGAAAGGGAATCAAAACACTACAAAGGCTAGGCAGACGATCGTAGATGCAGATAGGGCTTACATTTAAAGACCGTCAGTTTTTGATTTTGTGCTAAACAAACGGTCCTGATATGCTTATAAAACGACCTTTTTCAGCAATTTAACACTTGCTTTTTGCCGCGCAGACGGTATAGCGGTTAGGGTAGCCTAGGTTCGAATCCCTGAGAAGGGATGGTTGTAATTGTCCGTCAAATAGGACGGAGAGGTGGACACTTATTAGGTGTCTCCGTAATAAAGTGACCACCACTTCTGGCCTTAGTTGTGGCCAAGCCTGAAGGCCCCCATTGGGGGGAAGACCTTGCTTTCTTGAGGTAGAACACTTTGTCATTCTTCCGACTAAAAGTACTTTTTATGCGGGATGACGTTGCAATATGCAATAGCTTATTAAACTGAATGAAGTAAATAATAGATAAATGCCACATTAAATTTTTTTTCAAAAGAAATGCCCACATTCAGTCTAATTTAGATTGAAACCAATGAGTTTTAATATCGTTCCACCACATCTCTTTCACTGGATTTACTACAGTGGGCACTAGAATCGTCGTCAAAGAAAAGCATGCTTTTTTTTAATATTTGAATTATAGGCGTTAAGAATGGGAAATATAATTTTTAAGCTCATACAGTTAGGTAATGCGCATTGTTTAATGAAACTAGAAAGAAATTCTAACCATCTTTCTTTCCTAATTTGGGCAATTATTTTTAATTCTTGGGCGTAGATCATTATGGATAATTAAAAAAAAAGAAATAGCATGAATTAAATTCCCTTCGATTAGCATAAAATCGTGCATTGAACTTAGTTTCAAGTCATGCTATTCTTTGATCCCAACATGTTTTGTTATCTGCAAAAGCTAAAATTCCTGATGACTTAAGTGGGTATAAAAGTGCAAGTATAAAAAATTATTTTATCTTTCAAAACCTAGTATTCAAACAATTTATGCTACTGAATGAGATGCTTTTGTCTGTCAGAAACAAATTAGATTATCTCTCATGATTACAAAAAATGTACACGCACGTAAACATTCTCGTAGCGCTGCAGGCATTTATTTCCGAAGCATCCAACACACAGTTCGTGCGGTCGTGTAGTCCTGAGTCGAGGTTGTTCGTCGGTTCTGAGCGAAGTTAGCGATACTCTGACGTGAATGCATTGTTGACATGAATTCTGTGTTCGTGAAGCATGGTCTCTGACGTTTAATATTTCTCAGCAGAGATTTTTTGGGAATTTTTGTAGTTAGGTTATTTAGGCTTGAAGCTGTCTACTAACACTGTAGATATGAGGACTGTTAATGGTGTAGTTCGAGATATTGTAGTTCAAGTTCAAGCAGAAACAGCACCCGGCGAAAGTGTTTTCATTTCTGGAAATTCTCCAGAACTTGGAGAATGGAAAGTATCAAAAGCAGTTATGCTTTCAAAGGTGTCTAGTGAAGGGTAAGAAAAATTTTGTATGTGATTATTAGCTTAGGCTACATATGATTACATGATTTAATATTTCTGATGCAATGTAGGTGCATTCAGTTTTGCATCTCAATGTACCTAAATAAGCAAAATAATGTTGAACAGATGTTTTCAAATTAATTGAATTAAAAATTGATAAACAACGACTTCATACATCATATATATATCGATTAAAATTTAAATTATATAATGTTGCTATAAAGAAGTAACGCGGGTTATGGAATCTCTCTTTACCTGTCGTTGTATTTGCATTAATATATAACACCTGGTATGCATTTTCACCGAGGCTAGTAAACATTTAATGAATGGCTGCGTTTTTAGATTTTTTGGACAAGATACAAATGAATCGTACCTAAAAGTTTAGAAATTATTTTTGTATTTATATTTGAAATTTTTTGACTTAATTATATTACGTTATATTTATAAAACCCAATGTGGATTCGATTTCATGTCGTGTAAGGTATTCAGAAAGAGGGGGCAAAAATTTATTCCTGCTGATGTTATTTTCTACTCTAAATGTTCAATTTAATTACTTCTGAAATGTTTCTTGTATGGATATAATTATATGAATATAATAATTTTTTTGCACAAAATATATAGAAAATATTAAGCATGTATTAGAAATTTATTGCATAATTTTTAACTTAAAATTTCTCCTTAAAAACTGCATTAAAGATGCATATATATATATATATAATAAAACTTGCTTTTAAGTGTTTCTTATGTAGTATTTAAGTATTTTCTAGATATGTAATTATTTTTTAAGTATATATTTGTTTTTTTTTTATAAATTATGAATTAGTTCTTTTTAGTTTCTTATTGGTTATTATATATTTTTTTTATATATTATATCTAGTTTCTTTTTAGTTTCTTTTTGATTTATATGCATATTTGTGTCGGGAAGGTTTCTGTAGACAAGGGTTTCTAAAATGCATTGGTTTCTAAATTAATTTTTCTTAAAATTTAATTTAATACTAGACATTGCTTATTTCTCAAATTACTTCATTATCTTCCTTTTAGACTTTTAATTTAATACTAGACATTACATTGCTTATTTCTCAAATTACTTCATTATTTTCCTTTTAGACCTTTAATTTTTAATTGCTAATTTTTCAAGGTACCACTTTATTATTATTTCTTTTTGGGCATTCTTCACTATGTATTTACTTTTGGTTTTGACTTTTTACCCTTGCCTGCATGAATGCCGAAACACGAATTGAATGATTAAAGAGTTAGGTTTGGAGGCAACTTCCTCTTGATAAGTCTGTCTCCTGCCTGCTCAACAATCATTCACTTATGCATTTTTAAAAAAATTTTTTAGATTAATTTTAATTTGCTAAATTGGTAATTTATTTTCATAATTTGGTTTTGCACTTGATTTACTAATGCTATCTGAATTTAAATGATATTGTAGATTAGTTCGAAAATGAAATCTTTTGTATGTTTGCAAATTTTTTTTTTTTTAAATTTTAACTTTAAAAATTTTTGAATTATTTTAACGTTAAATTTGCTTTTTTACGTATATACTTGTTTGCTAAAATTTAAATTTCATTCCTTGCAGCAATGGCGCAAAGGATTAATTAAATTTGTATTTAAATTCAATGTATTCTTTTGAAACTATTTTATATATATATTATATATATAAAACTGAAAGCTGTTTCAAACATTTGTTCTCTACAAAGTAGTGCACGAGAATAAGAATGCTGAACAGATAAGTTTTGTTTAACTTAGTTTTGTTTAACTTACGGTTACTTAAGATCATTTTGGAATTCATATTTTTGTATGTAAATAATGTTAATTAGTTGGTTTGTTATTTGTTCTTTAGTCTTTTGTATATAGTGTTTTATCATTTATGTACCTACATGTTGTATTTTTTATGTTTTTTTTCAGTAATTCACTCTTCATACTTTAGTTTCATTAGTATTTTAAATAGTTGACAGAGTTATTTAATCATTATATCAATAATTAATATTCTGGGCTTAAGCATATGAAAAGAGATAACATCTTGTATTTATATGTGTATCTTTGGCTAATTATCTTATGTCTAAATTATCTTAGGCTGTAATTGATTATTGCAGTATAAGAAATTTCATGCTGTTAAATTATTCTTTTTCTTGAGCATAAGAAATTGCAGTAATTTAAAGGTAATACTGAAAACTATAGAATAATGAGGGTGCACTTTTAGTTTTTAGAAGCCATTTATTTATAATCATAGAATGTATTATATTACAGAGAACTGCAATACCAGCATAGTTTTAATTTCATATATGTATCCAAAGTGTTGCCAATTGCAAGTTACTAAATTTTTTTTTTTTTTTTTTTTTTTTTTTTTGAGTTCAAAATTCTTTTTAACAGTCTAAAATCAGTCCAAATACCTGGCTGGCTTTCTAATCACTTTCCCACTTCTAGTTCTTTGCTCATCATCCCTTGTTTCTGAGTTAGCAGAATTTGGCAGTTGTTCTTCTAAACTTTGCCCTTGAGAATATCTGGAATCTTCTCCTTTTACATCAGTTTTCTGTACATTAACTCCTTGTTCTGTTCCTCTGATATTCTCTTCAATAGCTGAACTGTTTTCTCTAATGTCTTTTCTATTTCTTCTCAATACTGATCCACCTGATCTTAATATATATGATCTAGGCATCTTGTATACTTCTTCTACAACTGCTGGTTTCCAGCAATTATCTTGATATACCCTAACACAATCTCCTTTATTTTGCGATGGTAATGTTTTTGTATGACGATCATAATATGACTTCTGCTTAGTTATTTCTTGGTTGATTTTTTTCATTTACATTTTTCACAACTTGAGGCTTGAGTAATTCTTCAGAGGTAGGAAGAATTATTCTTGTTCTTCTACTCATAATTTGTTGCGCTAGTGATCCTAACATCTCATTAGTTGGAGTGTTCCTATGAGCTAACAATGCTAAATAAGGATCAGTATGATCTGCTTGAGCTTTCTTTAAGAATGTCTTGGCCGTTTGTACTGATGTACTGAACGCTCTTCTAATCCATTCGACTGTGGATGGTACAGACTGCTTGTTATGTGTTTAAATTGGTATTTCTTTGCAAATTCTTTACTTGCAAACTGAGGTCCATTATCAGCTATCACTATCAATGGTATATAGTATCTTGCAAAATGAGATTTCACGTAACTGATCACTGCCTGATTTTTCAAAGAAGTTAGAATAGTAATCTCCAATTAATAAGTATACCTCTTTGTTAATCTCAAATAAATCTGTTGCAACTTTATATTAAGGTAAGTTGGGAACTTCATGCGGTACCATAGGCTTTCTTATGTTTTTATTCTAGTATTCATTACGTATAGGACATTTTGAAATTTTATCTTCTATCTGCTTGTTCAGAAGTGGCCGAAACAAAATATCTCTAGGTCTTTTCTTACATTTTTCTGTACCAAAATGACCCTCATGAATTAAATTTAACATTTCTTTTTGATAAAGGAACAATTATCATTTCTCTGAAAAATAAGTCATTTTCCATTGTCAACTCATCTCTGTAGTTCCAAAATACTTTGACTTGAGGTTTCACCTGATGTTTCCTTTCTGGCCAACTTCTACAGACATTACTTTTTTGAATCAAACCTAGTTGCAAACATGATTTTAATCATAATATAGAAGGTACTTCTTTGTCAATAACTTGGAATTTCACAACATGACTATTTTTTCCATATTTGCAGTTAAGTACTACTTTTCCTAAAGTATCCATTTATTCCCAGAGAATGTAACTAATCTTTTAATTTCAGACTTCTGTATAGGAACATTTAACAATTTCACTTTGCTTTTAGAAATAACATTGCACATTGCTACAGTATCTAACTGCAAATTTAGTTTACTTTTATTTACATCTACATCAACAGTCCATTTCTCTTCCTTGTTATCTGAATTATGATTTAATGTGCTGACATAAAATTCTAACTCTTCCTCAGAGTCATGATTTATTAATTTAATTTGTCTTTCTTTCTTGTTTACCTTGACTCATTTTTTATTATATAGCTTTTACACTGATTAGTGAAATGATTTGCCATTTTACACTTATGTCAGATTTTTTATATGCTTGACACTTTCTCGATACTCATGAGATATTCCACATTTAGAACAAACTTTTGTCTTGTTTCGTGGTATTTACCTCTTTGTAGGTATTCTTATTATGTTTACTTAGTTTCTTTTTCACTAAGTTTTACAACAGTTTCCTCATCTTTTATGATTTTCATTTGATGTGCGCTTATTTCAGCAGATCTGCATATATTAAAAGCCTTTTTCTAATGTTAATTCTGTTTCATGTAACAATCTTGCTCTCACTATATCATCATTAATACCGCAAACGATTTTATCCTTTATTTAACTATTCGTTAATTGTGCAAACTCGCATGTTCGAGCTTTATTTCGAAGGTCAGTTACATATTCATCTATGGTTTCTGACGTAGTTTGATTTTTAGTAAAGAATAAATGTCTTTCATATGTAATGTTTTTATTAGGAATACAATATTCTGTAAATTTTGTCTTAATTTACTTTCTTTACCCTTTTCTATAGGAAATGTATTATATATTTCAAGACTACGAATTCCTATTACATGAAGAAAAGTATTAAGTCTTACCTTCTTTTCTTTATTATGTAATCCACTAGCTATTTCATATATTTTGAATGATTGCAGCTACATTTCCCAATTTGAAGCAAGATTTCCATCAAATTTCATCGGCTCTGGTGGTTTTAAACTTTCCATTTGAAAGCAAACTACTCCTGACATCATATAGAATAATTTTAATTGTTTTGCTGTTTATTATATTTTATTCATTTCAATGGTTAACATCTTCCATTTTTCACTTGAAAGAGTTCATCTTTTTTAATTCATGTAGAATACAAAGGCATAAAAAATTAATGAAAAGATGCTGGGACGTAGCAAGGGGGAACATCTGCTCCGGGCTGCAACATCCAGGGGGTGCCAAATTGGTGTTAAAAAATTTTAGAATGAAATGTTTTCCATTCTTGGCAAATAGGAGGGGGGCATGAAATCTTCAGTTGTTTGTCTCTGGGTGCTGAAAGCCCCACAACTCCGAAAGCTCTGGAAAGATGTCTACAATCTGAAAAGCACAAATAACAGCAACTAACTGAACTCTAAAATTTATGGTAAACAATCTTGTTGTTTAACTTAACTTTCTGGATAATGTAATGAAGATTCTTGTAAATTTAACAACTCAAACTTGATTAGCAGAAAAAAATCCCTGGAAAATATATAACCAATTAAAGTTCTCTTATTCCACATAAACACATTAAAAATCTAATCTTGTACTAAAACTAATTAAAAATTTACTTTTGAAATATTTCATATGTTTTTGTATAAGTATTACATGAAAGAAAAATTTGTTACACTTTTAAATGTAATATTTTGTGAAATATTTAAAAGTCGTGCAGCAGTGTCATTAAGCAAATAAATTAGCCCATTTTTTTATATATATTTATTATTTCTCTATATAATGTTTCAAAATTCATTATCTATGCAGCAGTATCCAGTTACCAGATTTTTTTGTCAGTTGCAAGCATTATTATTTGTATTACCATTTAATAAAGGGATTACGATTGTATATCCCTGTAGTTTGAGCTAAATACAGTGTATATCCTAATGATTACTTTTATTTAAAGATACCTGATCTTTTTAAAAATTTTAATTTGAAAAATATAGTATAAATTACTTTGACATGTTTGCAGCAAATGGGTGTGGTTTTACTTAATATAACTCTTTTGTTCTATTTAGCATCCAATGCCTGTAGTTATAGTCAGACTGATTTCATCAGTTTTATATTTGCATATATAAATGTGTATTTCATAGTATAGCGATTTACTAAAACTGTGGTATTTTTCTTTTTGCAAATATCTGGATTCTGCATTTTTGCATGTAAATAAGCCTAGTATTTATTATAAAATGCTACATTTCATATTAATCACACTTTTGTGTTATTTATTTTATGCTGTAGGAACATATGGGGAGGTATTATTCGTGCTCCATCAAATCAGATTCTCCAGTATCGTTATTTGATTTGCATAATAGTTGATAATGATGGCAAACAAGAGAATGTGGTACGGCAATGGGAAAGCCACTTAAGGCCTCGCCTGCTTCATCCTTTAGATGTTATAGATGGTAAATGTAACATGGATGTTTTTGGATTCCAGGGTGAGACTTTTTTTAATTGAGTTTACAAGTAATATAAAATTACCATAAGTAATACATGAATGCATTTTTGAAGAGATGAACTTGTTACAATACATGAGTGCATTTTTGAAGAGATGAACTTGTTACATTTTTGTGCCCATCTGTTCCAAAGATTGTTTAGAAACTAAATATCAGTTTTGTATGATATCTGAACAAAGTAATGGATATCTTTTTCATTGTGAGCAATTATCTATCAAAGAGTTTTACAAGGCTAACTTTTACAGCACTGTTCATTGATTTATACTTCAGTTTGTGAACTAGTCTTCTGATAGTTCATTAACTCTGTAGGGAAAAAAGCATGTGTTTTATCTAACTTCCATTAAAGCCGAGAAAAGTTGTGAAATGTTGTAAGAATTGATAATTATTGTAGAATGTTTCCTCTTGTAAAAGGAAGTTGGTAAGAAAAGGTTAAAGGAGGGAAGAAGATATGGTTGGTCATTCCATCAGGGAAAAACAGGATAAATATGGGAGATATAAGTGTAACTATTATTGCATAAAAATAGAATTAATATACATTGATATGCTAGAAAAACTGGAATAACTATATCTTACCAGGTCGTTTACCAGTTTCTGTATTCTAAACAAGAACTTCGAAACAAAGCACAGCATGGACATCATGAAGCTTATACAGTCAAAAGTCGTTAATTCGGACACCCATAATTCGGAATGATCTATAATCCGGACATCAAAGCTAAAAACTCTCTGCGCATGCACCGCGTTGACATAGGCGTTTACGCGTGCACGTAAGACCTTTTACGACTGCGCATATGAGTGTGCGCAAGCGCAGAATGCATTTTCGCGTGCGCATTTTATGTATAACGGACGGTATAAGCTAAAATTATCTAATTATCGTTTTCAGTTAATGTTGATGATTGCGTCGTTCCTTGATTTTCGAATTGGATCCGGCTTATTATTTTTTGCAGACTGTAAGAGCAATACTATAAAAGTAAACTTGAACTTTCGATTATGTCAAATAGAATTTCCGATTCTGGAGCTCCCAAAGGATCGTACAAAATGAAAGTATCAAACAAAAAGTGGAATTGCTGCAAAAAATGGATAAAGACATGAAGAATGTGACAGAGAGGTTAGTGAAAACGAAAAAATTTGGATTGACAAGTTAGTCGGTATTCTCGGCACAGCAATTAACGGGACTTGAACAGCGGACCTTTGTAACTGAACAAGAAATTATGTATGTTTATAGAATTAAAGAGAAAGTATTATCACATAAAATGAAGCAACTTACATTGAAAGAAATATTTAATAAAGTAAACAAATAAATATTAAGCTTTTTTTTTTTTTTTTTTTTGTAAATTTTGATACCCTTTGGATCATAATTGTTCTTTATTTCATAAATTACGGTTTCATATTTTTAATTTTAGAATTTCTGCATGCCATCTTACGAGATTTAAACTGATGAGCTATAATCCAGAAAAATCGATAATCCGGAATCGCCGAAGCCCCGACGAGTCCGGATTAACGACTTTTGACTGTATAATTCATAGATAGTGAGTTGAAGAAGCCTAAGTGAATGTATGACATGAATGAGTGCAATAACTCTGACGGAATGTTAGTAAAGCATTCACTAGTAAGAGAAGATTTTGTATAAATGTGAAGTCCTAATTAATACTAGTTGAACATAATTCATACTATGATTACTAAGTTAAGAGCAACTTGTCTACTCTTTTGGTGAAATGTTAGTTTATAGATTCAAAGAATATCTTTTCATTGATTCTTCTGTTTATTAAAGTTTCTTAGAAATGCAACTTATCAGCTAGGATACTTCTTTCCATTCTTACAGTATCCACTGGCAGTAGTTCCCAGAGAAAATGTGGTGCTGTGTAAACAATAGCTGTCTAAGCTTTGAGAGTTAAAATCCTTATAACGCAGAGAACATTATGCAGTACTTGCAGTGATATTATAAAAGGCTGCAACATTGAATTTAGTCTTTAGTTTAGGCAGTTTTTTATATCTATTGTTTAAAGTTACGCATAGACAGACTTTTGCCATATGCATTAACCACTTAACTGTTTTGTCCGAACACCGTTTGAGTGCCGCGAAAAGGGACTTATTTAATGTGCCCATCCACCACTCAGGCAGTGCATTTTCCTACACCAATCCACTGATTTTCCTGACTTTTTCACATTTTTTACTTTGCAGTGTTTTTAATACATGTCTCTAGTAGTCCAGGAGAAATTAGACTATAAAAGCAGTTCAAGGACAGATTTTACCAGTTTTTCATTAGGTGGAGAAATTCAACGAGTGTGTTTGCATGTGTTCGATGTATTAGGTTTTGTGAATAGTACTTTTTCCGGTTAATCTTTGGATTATGGTAACTTGGCAATTTTTTTGCAAAAATTTGGCGACCGACCCTGCTACAGTAATCTGCTAGTGTTTTTGTTTGGACGCCATTTTGTTTTCACAAAGTAAAGACATTTTTTTTTTTTTTTTTTTTTAACTCAACATTTTTTTCCAACAATCTGCTAGCCGAATTACGCTTATTCTAGAACTTTTATGGAACAAAAGTGCTCAATCATGACGAAGATTAGGTGCAAAATTGGAAGAAGGGCAGAATCGCAAACTGCTTGCAGCGTTTTTAAGAATTGCACATACACAGTGTCCATGTACACGTCGACCTATTTTCACTTAAAAAAACATCCCAAAATTACACAAAAATGGCATTGCGCACACTCTTGACTTTATCCATTTACACTGCTAAAGTCCTAGCTAGTAACCTTTATTGCCTTACCAAAATTGTCGCCAAACTACCTGTTACCATATTCCAAAGATTAGCCCTTTTTCCCAATTTTGTCATGAAATGAAAGAACGATAGGTGACAGTAAATGGCTCATAACAGAATATAATTCTGATATTGGATCAGATAGTGAATCTGAATTTTCTATAAGTGATTCTGTTAGTCCTGAAAGTTCTTTATAGGAATTCTCTAGTGATGATGAGGAAACTGAAAGTTCAGATAATCTAATTCAGGTTCGGAACTTTTAAGAAATGGACAGTAGTAATCCTCCTTCACCTCTGTCGTGATTTCCTTTCACAGCAAATTCACTTCTTTCACATTTATTTTCTGTAAAGTGTTTTTTCCAGTTCTGCAGTTTTGTCCGAAAAAAGCCAACTTTAAGTAAAAATGCCTTAATTTCACCATTAAAAAGTATTTAAAATTAATAAATGCAATACTTTTAACAGTTTTGATTACTGATTTTAATTCATGTAATCGATTAGAATACAAAATTGTTCATAAAATATGCTTGTTTTTGCTCACAATATGGCAGGAAAATGAAGCAGTTAAGTGGAATCTTTCAGTGTTTTCTTGGAATTCTTGTATTTGAATTGCATTCTTCAAATGGATGGATGTGTAAAACCAGACCAGGCTGTAATATGATGATTCATCTCCCAAACAATTTCTGCCATACATAGAGCTGGCTTAACCATTAAGTAAATAAGCACATTCCTAGAGTATCAAGGGAAGACCACAAAAAGGTCCTTAAGTATTCAGGAAAGGAGTTTAAAAAAAGTTCTCATTGTCCATTTTACTAACGAATTCATGCTACAGCTAACCCAAATTTGAGAGAGAGAGATAGGCTTGCCACCACTTGGCTGTCAATGTCCGGGAGAGGGGAAAAAATGTAAATTTTTATAACTTTTTATTTTATTTTGAACTTATATTTTGCATTTGATCGTATGGATTTCAAAATATCTGGTCTGGAACTAACAAATTTAAAAAACTCTTTGCAGTCTAATTTAAAATTAAAGAACATTAGGATTTCTGCCTTGACATGTTCTTCATTTAAACAGTTTCTTTCCTTAGTCCATGTATCAAATGCTATACTGAAAACATGCTCGCAGGCAGCGTTTGATACAGGTATAGACAAGACGAATGAAACTACTTTCGTGAACATACCTCCAACTCTATTTTCGACCGTTGAGAAAAATTTTGCCCACCTCAGATCAACTCTTACACTTGATTTAACAATGCTCTCTTGAACCTCCCTCAAAATGCAGAAATCTTCATAAAGTTTATTTTCATCAAAAGTGATCTTTAAATCAATGGCCAAGTATCTCAAAGCATCTCACGTAATTTCTCTTTTTTTTTTTTTTTTTTTTTTTTTTTAATTGGAAGTATGCTCAATTTACTATACTATGAGTTTTCGAAATCATACCATTTTTTCAGGTAATCTAAACATCTGTCAAAGAAAATGTCTGCGCCTTTATAAAACATAGCCTTGTGAATTTCATTTAATTCAGTAAAGTTTAAATTCATTCAGTAAAGTTTAAAAAATCTCTTACTGAACTACCAAAAAATTTGTCATTTTTTCTATTTGTTATTTTTTGGCGGATTTCGAGCATAACATAGTGCAATTCTGTGCAAGTAACAAAATCACTTTCGATGATTTTAATTTCATTATCAAAAATTTGCATTCGCAAATTTTGCATTTGCATTTCAAATTCGAAAACGTGCAAAAAGTAACAGTAGCACACAGGCAGTAAGTTTTCGTCTTTAAATGCTTGCCAAATAATTGTACTACATTCTTTTTCTCCTTCTTCAATAAAATACGCTCGTAAAGCTGGCCAATTACAAAGCAAACGCTCTATCGCTGGCAATAAAGATAGCCATCTGGTTGGCACATGGCGCAAAATGTTGCAATACTCAATATTTAAAAATGCGTGGAAATCTTTCAAAGTCTCTGTTCGTTTAGCATATGTTGAAAATTCGCTATAAACTTTCAAGACTAAGGCTTCAACGTCAAATTTTATGCCTTTTAATGCAAATTTTGTGCAGTTCTGTAATATGTGGCATTTACAGTTTGCTTTTAAAATGTTTTCATTGTCACTCTTAAGTTTTGATGCACAGAATTATTTATGCCATAATTGACAGAAGTGTTATCAGCAGCAAACGAAGTTTCATTCATTATATCTAAATTATTTTCGATGAGAACTTGACAAATCTGGTTTTTAATCTCGCCTCTTTTTTTCTTGGGGATCGCGGTAAAAATCAAGCAGTCCGTGTTTTATCCCACTTTCCGTATGAAAATATTGCACGACTACTGGAAACATTTTAACTTTGCCTTTATTTGACGCATCTGTTGCAACTGAAAAAAACTGCTTCTTTAATCTCATTTAAAAGTATTTCTTGAGCTGCAGGAGCAAGCACACTCTCGCAAATACTTGTACATTTTGTTCTACCACAAGAAATCTTTTTTACCAAAGAAGAATCTGGAAATAGAATGCTATACAAACTGGCTATTCAAACTATGATGGTGCTTAATCCCATGATAGACTGAAGTAATTTCAATTGCTGATGTATTGTCCTCTTCTTTTGAAGATTTCTTTATGAAAAAGTTCGAAACCGATTGCAAAGAATCCCTATTCAATATTAAAAAGTGGTGTTTCTTGCTTTGGGAATGTACAGTTATAGCTCTAACACCCTTGTACTTAATATTAACCATTTTACGACACAATTTACATTTTCCATAAAAGTTGCCTTTGTTCATAAGCCAATTAAATTGAGTTAACCATTTGTCTTGAAAAGACGTCAAATACTTTGTCTTTTTTTTGTGGCACTTGCTGAATCGGAATAGTTTTTGTCACTAGACATTATTATGAAAACATTTAAATAATTTCAAGATAAGCACTTGTTCGTAGATAGCTAGCTAACTTCAGACTAAATGAAAGAATGGATTGAAAATGAGAGGGTGGAGGGGGCGTGCACGCAGCATGCTGGCTCCACTACTCATCAGCAAGGTGCTTACTCACTGCAGATCATTGCTGCAAAGAAAATATGTCTAGACATTCTTTGGCTGTTGTGTGCGGTTGTGTGATTTTCGATGCTGTCAACCATTTCATCTGTGTGCATTGTATTGTTATTTTCAGGAAACTTGATATTCCGGGAGAGTAATGTTTATTTTAAATTCCTTCCGGGAGCCAGGAGATTTAAATTTTCAGGGCTCAATTCCGGGAGAGTCCCGGAGAGGTGGCAACCATAGATGTTAGGTTAGGTTATTTAATTATGGCCAAGCCTCTAGGGCTGTCTGCCTAAGGGGAGGGATGCCTTCGTGGAGGACTTTCTAAGGGAAAACTGGCTCGTATACACGTTACACATGGGGAAAACCACGAAAACACCCATGCAGCCAGCCCGTTCACAGGATTCGAACCTCGGACCAAAACTACCAGTGTTCAGCGACTTTACTGCTTGGCCGCTGGTGGGCCAGGCAACCCTAGAGAGAGAGAGGAAATGAAGGAGAAAAAACTGGCATAAACATATGTGGGGGCACCAAAATCTTTTGACTACTTAGGATGTGTAATAGTTTTAATTAAGCCCTGGTATACATCATTAAAGTTGCTAAACCAGCTTTTCTATGTATTCAGCCCTTTAAGCTTCTAAAGAATTGTCTATTGCTATATAATCAGCTTTTAAATAAAGCGATTCATGAGAAATGAGGTTCTGCTGCATATTCAGTTTATCCTTTTTTCTGGCACATCAGTGTAATTCTTTGCAAAATCTGTATAAAAACTTTTATGTTGATCAAAAGAATATATGATATCTCCATGCTGATACCTTATGTATTGTTCAAACAAATTTAATTTATGGAATAAGTTTTATTCTTCAGTGGTCAAGTGCAATGGAAAAACTCGATGAACAGCAGACAAATGGATATTGCAACACTGGCATATTACTTCTACTTTATCATTGCATAATTTTTTAGTTTTCCTTCTATTAAAGTGTATTTGCATATAAAAAGTTGATTTTTACAGAGATTTTTTTTCAATCTAATAGATTTAACTATTTAATACAATTTATTAATATACTTCATTTATATTTAAAAATAAATTTCAACTCTAACTCAGTTATACATTAAATTTGATAAAATTCAGTTTTGCAGATTTTGATTTAGGGGGGGGAAGGGGATCATGAGCAAGTGATTATAAGTGAAATCACTTTCAACTGAAATGCTGAAGATCTATTGATGCATAATATGTTTTTCTATTGCAAGAAGTAATAATTTTGCCAGAAAATAAGATGTGCTCTTTCGTTTTGCAATGCCATCTGTGTGCTAACATGGAGCTTGTACTTTCAGTTTTGTTTTTAACCACATATTACAAAACTAATTTGCATAACCATTCTTTAATTGCAGTTAGATATCATAGTGATACATGTTTATTAAGTAACTTTTTCTTGATTTTCTTAAAGATTTGTATTGTATATTCTACCAAAAAAAATTTAATTTAGTTATTAAGTGAGAAAAAATACTGTAATTTATTTGTTTGAAGACATTAACATTTGAAATGTTTTCTCCCTTCTTTTTATTTGTTAATTATTAAAGGCTGATGTATTTTGCTTTAATGTGTTTTAGGTGATACGGAAAGCATAGCCCATGGTTGGTTAACATGTGAAACTATTGTGCAGCTTAAAATGTTTAATAATCCTATTACCATCTGGAAGCGTCGATATAGAGATAAGCCTATTTCAGTGCATGTCTCTACTATAGATATAACACGAAAAGATTCTGAAGTTAGTATTTTTATGTTATTAATAAGGTAACAGTTGTTAATAAAATTATACTTTTTGTAGTTTTGTATTTTACTGTTAAGAGGGTGCCACTTAGCAGCAAACAAATGTTGCGAAATCTAACTACTAGATGTGGCAACCCTAATAATACATAAAGCTTTATGAAAACTAAATGAACTTGTAATAACGACAGTATCATAATATATATATAATGTATGTATGAAAATATATATAATGTATAGTGCAAAGTCAGAGATCTGGACCTCAGAGCCACTAAAAACTCTTTTTTTTCGGTTATGCATGTGCATTGGATTTTTTCCTCCCATAATAAAACATGTGGAGAGTCACAATTCTTAAATGTATTTAATTCCAATCCAGCTTAGGCACTGAATAAAATATCTCATTATTGAAGAAACAATCATTTTAGTATAAATTTGTGAGATCAATAAATTGATTCTGTAGCTGTGTATCTGCTTAGTATGTATCTCAAACCAAAACATGTTACATAGAAACATCCTTGATTTTACACCTACTATTATTTTATATTGCTGATGCCAACCTGGCGAATTGTTATTTATTATATTTTGCTGTCATCACCACATGTTTATCAATACATGACAACTTGAGTCATGACTCATGCAGTGATGCCTAAACTTTTTTTATATTTGTAATTGAATAACAAATAGTATGGCAACCTTTTATGCTGACGTTACGCTTGGCGATGCTTAGAGATTTAAGTTAAATGTGCTAAGCAATGTTGATGAGGAAAAATTTAAAAAAAAATTCATTCCATATCCTAAAAGTATATTTTGTTAATGAAACTCGTAGGCCAAAAGATTACGTTTAGTGCTATTTGAATCAAAAATATCTGATTTCTTATTCACATAAACCCATACCCGATGCCAGAGCTCATATGGCCGTACTAGGCAGCAAAATTTAGGGAAGACAATTTTTTTTTTTTTTTTTTTTTAATTTAGGGAAAACACTAAAAACCGAAGTTTAAGGGCAGCAAAAATTTAGAACGTAGGGAGGCACTTCATAGCAGAATTTAAGACCCGTAGAGACTGCATCAGGTGGTGAGGTATCTAGCGTCGCCCCTTGATAAGCCTTAAGTATATGTGGGAATTTATTTATTCAGGACTTGGATTAATGCAAGAAGCATGTGCAAAAAATAGACGTAGGTATAATAAATAACTAAACTAATATAGTTCAGGCCTAATTGTCTCAATAGAAGCAAGTCTTGCAATAGAAGTAAGACAAAATTTCATCGAGTAACTTGTCTTTCATCACCAATCTTATGATACATAGCCAATAATGTATAGCAGTCGCTGTCAAAGAATTTCAGTTAATATACGAGGGCATGATCCAAAAAAAAGTTTACAAGGCAGATGAAAAAGTATTTATTAACAATAGAAACAAGATACAAATGGGAATCAAGAGACACATCTGGCCTTCTTTTCCACATAGTCGCCAAACCTGTTTAGGCATTTGTCAGAACGTTCAACCAATTTGTTTATCCCGTCTTGGTAGTAATCAGGGCCCTGCTCATTGAGCCATTTCTCAGCAGCTGTATTCACTGCATCGTCTGAGGTGAACCGTGTTCCGGATAAGTATCGCTTCAACGCGGGAAAAATGAAATAGTCACTTGGAGCCAAATCGGGGCCGTATGGGGGGTGATTCCAGACCTCCCATTTGAACCTTTGCAGCAATTCCTGAGTCTGGCGAGCTGTATGGGGCTTGGCATTGTAATGCAGAAGAATTGACGCCTTTGCTCAGTAATCCAGGCCGTTTGCGTCAGATGGCTTTACGCAATTTCGTTAAGGTGGCACAATAACGATTGGCCTTAATGGTATGGCCATGCTCCAAATACTCAATTATGATAACACCAGTCGTATCCCAGAAATTGGTTGCCGTCACTTAACCGGCAGAGGATGTGACCTTCTTCCTCATTGGTGATCCAGCATGTTTCCACTCCATCGTGGCTGTTTTGGACATGGAGGTAGGAAGTAAGATGGAGTCACCCTAAACAAGTTTCTCCCGTACCCTGCTTTGAAGCACCGGCGATCCCTACGGGGTGACCAAAACATTGGGTCATTTACCATTGAGTTCTATGGGATTTGACGCGTTCGGATGTAAATATTTTGTAATTACGTCGTAAATATACATATAAATGTATATATTTTCTTTTTCTACAACACTTCAGAGTCCTAAGTATGTGAAAACAACATATTTTTAAACAACATTTCATTCTGAACGGAATTAAATGCTATACTTTTCACAGGACAGTTTTCTCAGAATGGTTTAATTTGAATGAAATATTTTCACAAGTTTTTGTTAATTACGTTAGAAAAAAAAATTAAGGTAATTCGATTTTATTCGGTTAAGGTACAAAAATTAAGATCAAAGTTTATTGTATTATTTATATTAAAATTATGCATTATTTCTTTTCTAATTATAGAGCTTCTTCCTAAAATACTTTCTTAAATATGACATGATTTTTTGGCTTCTGAGGCATCTTTTAAATCGAAAAATGTAAGTCAATTTATAATTAATGCTCTATTCGGTTCATTTTAAATTAAAGAATTATTAGGAATTAGCCAAATACTTTAAATAGTACTTGACTTTCTCTGAACATTTCTGAAAGGGAATAAAATAAGTTTTTTTTTTTTAAGTATTATTTAAAACTTGTAACTGAGTTATTATAAAATGTAAGGGGAATAATTCTTTTAATTATACTTATCAGATTTTTTTTTATTCTTCATTTCAATAATACATATTCCAAAACTCTTTATTACATTCTTAAGTGCGCATCTCATAGCATTTGCTTTACAATACCTTTTAACAGATTGCTTTCCAATACGAACAATTCTTGCTAAAATAGTTTTATAACGTATTTGTCAACAGGATTTAAATTTATGTTTACAATTCAATATTAAGTTTATTATATATTTAGATAACATTTATAATCATTATAAATTAGATACATTTAATAATTAGATTTCCTCACAGTACTTTCACAGTTGTTTATAAGTGAATAAATTCTTCATTTTAAATACATTTATAAATAATTTAATGAATGTTTAAGTATTTTGTCAAAGGCAGATACATGCTTTTTGCAAGCACATGCATAAATACCCATACATATTTCCTATATTTCATTTCAGTCATGTGCAAATCTTTAATTTCTGTGCATTCACTATATTTTTCGTTTAAATGTACCGTAAGGTATTTTTCATTCTTTAAGCATAACATTTTTCTTAAAATCTATATTTTTGTAGTGCAACAGCTTAGAATTTTATAAAACAAATTCATAATCAAAATCGCTCTTGTTAGTTATCAAAAAATAACCAAGTTGTGATTTTTGCGTAAATGTCACTAAACTATACAAATTGCTATTATCCATCACACTATGAATGTTTCTTTCATGCGAAAGTGTCCCTTTTTCGATTTCTATGGAACTGTCGTGTGTCGAAATACTATCAGAATTTTGTCAAGCGAGCTTCTGAATGTAAACAAAGAACACCCCATCTGGTGACCCAAGCTTCAAAACAGTGCTTCGCTTTTAGCGCGGGTTGGCCCCTCTTCCCTTTCCTACCTCCATGGTTTTGGATGTGGGGAATGAAGTGATGAAGCCATGTTTCATCACCAGTAACGATGTGATCAATGAAGTGCTGGCCGTCTGAATGGTATCGCTGAAGAAATGTGAGGCTGCTCATCATTCGAGTGGCCTTATGCTCCGCAGACAATGCACGTGGAACCCAGCTGGCACAAACTTTGGAATATCACAACTCATTGGTTACGATACGCTGAATGTTACCATAACTCAGGCCCAACTCTGAGGCAATCTCACGCACGGTTACTCGTCGATCCCTTTGAATGATTTCTTCAACACGTGCCTTGTTGATTTCCGTCCTTGAAGAACTTGGACGGCCGCTCGCTTCCATATTGCAGTTTTTCACATGCTCCCTGCCCACTTGATAAGAACAACACCATTTCGTTGAAGATGTTGAAGATGATAGCTGTTGTCTACTCATTGCTTTGTTCCCGTATACCTCAACAATTTGTCTGTGAATTTCAGATGCGGCCACATTCTTGGCTTATAAGAATCGAATTACGGCTCGCACCTCTATGCGAGACCACTTTTCTAGACGTTGAGCCATTACTGTCACTCTTAAGTGTCTGCATACTGATGCTACGTACTCATAGAACCGCTGTAGGACAAATAGCGCCATCTGTCAACCACCCTGGGTGGAAATATGTGCTCCACAATTATTACGTTTCAAATGCTTGTAAACTTTTTTTTGAATCAACCTTCATATAACAGATTACGCTGTTCCTTAATCTTCTAATTTGATCATGCTTATTATTTTTTGCAGTGTTATTATCATAGAAATTTTATGAAAATTAAAGCTTGAACTTTCAATTATGTTGAAAAGAGTTTCCTATTCTGGAGCTGCAACAGGATCTACAAAGCAAAAGCATGTTTCGTTGTCCATTAAACAAAAAGTGGAATTGCTGCAAAAAAATGGATAAAGGCATATCCATCTCAAAATTATGCGAGGAGTATGGAATTGGAATGTCAGCTGTATATGACATAAAAAAAAAAAGAACTTTTTTTTTTTTTTTTTTTTTTTTTGTGTGTGTGTTGTGTGTGTGTGTGGATTTCAACATCACACTCGCAATGAATAACAGAAAAATTTTTCGTTATGCTAAAAGTGATGATTAAATGGATCAGACAGTATCGCAGAGAGGGTGTGCCATTGATGGGTCTAATGCTAATGTCTCAAGCCAAAATATTTCATGAAGAAAATGAATTAAAAAACTGTGTGCACATATTCGATAGGTTTTGATTAACCAAATTTAAAAATGGCCATGGTATAAGGCAATTAAAAATTTCAGGTGAAGAAGCTTCAGTGCTGAACTGTTTGCAGGTGAATTCATTAAACCCATTACAAGTGAAAAGTTATCTCCTGAACAAATTTACAATGCTTATGCAACTGGCCTTTTCTGGCAATATGTACCGCAAAATACCTTGGCAACCTCTACAGAAAAGACTGCAACTGGTATCTAAGATTCCAAAGCATGATTAACAAATTTAGCATGCTCAAATGCTGCACTAATGCACCAGTGTAAACTTTTAATAATAGAAAAACACGACCTCGAGCATTTAAAGGAGTAATGATTTTCCGCATTATATATCGTGCAAATAAAAAAGCATGGATGACACAAGCGTTAATGAATGATTGGTTTGAAAATCATTTTACACCCAAGGCCCGACAACATTTGAATTCAGTCTGTTTACCTGATGATGCAAAAATTATTCTGACTGTAGACAACTGCTCTGTTCATACTTTTAGTGAAAGATAATGCATCCATATTATTCTTTCCTCCAAATTGTTCCAATGGTTATAGGAATAGTGCACACACTGAAATGCAAATATAAAGTAGCATTTTTAAAATCCATGTTAAATTTCATGAATAATGGCAAGATTATTGAAGAATTTTCTTAATATTTTAGCATAAAATCTGCCATGTGGAGCATCACAAGATCATGGGAAGATGTATCTCCAAATATTTAAAAAAGCACTTGGCATAATTTATGGCCAGCTTACCATATTTCACGGTGAGGATGTTGAAGATTATAGCCGCAAATTTGAAGGTTTTCAAATATCACAAGCTAAAGGTGAAATTTTTCAGTCAATAGATTTTGTAAAGAAATGTGGAGAAGCGGTAAGAAATGAAGATGATAAAACAGAAGTTTTACTAGATTTAAATTGAAGATCTAATATCCAGAAAAATCCCAAATCTGGAATCGCCGAAGACCCAACAAGGCCGGATCTCGGACTTTGTACTGTATGATATATTAATGTATCATATATATAGTATTACAAAAATTCTTTACAACAAAAATAACGTATATAATGTTAAATGTTCACAGTTCCAAATTTGTGCGATTCTCTATTTTTTTTTAAATTAAAACAGATCGGTATGGGGAGAACTGTTGTTTTATCTGTGTATGTACAGAGCAATCTGTTTTTGCTTAAAAAATCTCAGAATTGCTCAAATTTGGTATTGTGCACATTACACTTTGCACAGCTATTCTTGACTTAATACAGCTTAGATACCAGCTTTAAACAGGCTGCCATATTTGGCACTTTGGCACCTGTCACCCCACTAACAGAGAAGTACATACTTTAACAGTTAATTCTTTATTATAGGTTATGGGCATCGAAGAAGATAGCACCACTCCTGAAGGATCAACTCGTAGCTGGCCTGTTGTTGAAGTTGCTGTAAGTACAGTTTTTCAAATAATAATATATATTTACTCATGCCATCATGTATAGAATCTTGTTTGATATTCCTTTGTTACAGTTAGTAACAAAGGAATATCAAACAAATTGGTCATATTCCATGTTTGTTATGTAAGGTTTACTTTTAACACACACACGAAGAGCACGGATATTGCATTTTAAATGCTTTTATTTTACTAATAAGAAATAGATAAAAGTAATAAAGGTAAGTTAAGTAAAAATTAATGTTGTAGGTGATGGTTATATTCGGTTCACGCAGAATTCATGTAATGATGAACATTTCAGTCTTTTTCACACGTAACATCCATGGTTAGCTTTAAAAAATATGATCAGCTTGGTTAAAGTAACTTCAACATCAAAGGAACTTAAACACCAAAGAAAACCCTCCGTTTCCTACAAATCTTGGAGGACAAGCAAGCCATCCACTTGCATCTGCTACTCTCCACTTCTGGACGATATCTCCTGTTGGTTCTCGTCTGCTCCGCACTGTCCTAAGCTAGGATGACGTCACCACGCTGGTATTCTAATTCAGCATCGGTCGTCAATGATCTCTACAGTTATAACATTAATTTGTTAGAAAAACAAAATTTCTTTGTGGTAATAAATCAATAAAAATTAATACAGGAGTAATATGGAACAGCAAACTGTAAATTTTGATGTTAAATCATAAGGATGTACAGAAACTTAAAAATTATTAGATTTGAAATTACTAACAAGCGATTCTTTGCTTAAAGTAATCCAGAAATTGAATTGCCATATAATTGTTCTTATAATTAACAGAATGTTAGTTAAATATGCAATATGAATGGATGTAGGAGAAAAGCTGTCTAATATGTTTGAAAGCAAAATTCTTCTCTTAAAAATTCAAATTTTATCTTAATTACTGTTTTGCAGCTTGCACAAGCTAGCTGCCTAAAACAGTTATTATAAAAAAGAAAAATATATGGTGGTTTTAGTGAGTCCAGCTTGCAGTTTATAATAATAGAGATGAAGGACTGTGTGTATTATTTTTAAATCTTTTAACTTTGTTGATCAGTAACAAACATTAAATTTGAAAAAAAAAAAAAAGTTGGTTTATGCTTTGCTGAATTGAAGCACACCTAGAAGTGGAACATGAAAATATTTAATTTTGGACAGTAGCAGCACATTTTTATTAAATCACTAAGTTTCTTCATTAAATTTGGGACACAAATATTTTAATGCTTTGAGGGATGGCAGGATTTTGTTTTAAATCGGTAAGTTTTCTGATTAAATTTAGGACATAAATATCTTGAACTTTGCTGAGTGTTAATACATTCTTTTAAATTGCTGAGTTTATTTATTAATCAAAATTTCATTAACTTCACGCAAAACATAAATTTAAAAAAGAAAAAAAAATTGGTCTTCTAAATGCACATGCTCAAATGAAGGACTAGATGTATGCAAAATTTAGTGGCTCTTAGTGTCACTATTTTTCCACGATACGAGGAACAAACATATGTATATACAGATTCTTAATTATTTAATAATAGAGATGAAACTATACTGATATGTAATAGCTGAAACATTGCAAGCTACAGCAGAATCTGGCTTGCCAGATTCATAATTAGTCAACTAGTGTACGGTTAAGGCTTGCTTAGGATCACTAGCATGCTTTTAATCTATTGTTAATCCCTCTGCCAGTTTGAATATTGTGTTGTGTCCATGTATCCCCTGGACAATAATGTTCTAACAAAGCACTAATATATAGGCATCAGTGCCTGTATATTATGTGATATATATAGGCAGCAGTCCAAAAAGTACCAGAAGCTCCTTCGAGTAAAGTGAAAGTTCCTAGTAGTGCTTTGCTGAATCAAAGTACACCAAAAAGTTCCTAGTAGTAACTATAGTTCAATAGGACATATAGAGAGTATTCACACATTTTTGTAAAGAATTTGCAAAGATTTATATATAAAAGAACCTTAGAATTTTATTTTCTAATATGTTCAATCTGATAGCCCTTTTGTTGAACTACCATATTACTTCTCTATTTCCAAGATAAAAGTCCTTTTCATAAATCATTGAGGATGATTTTATTTCACTCCTCTTTCACAATCTTCCATAGTCCATTCAATGTTTTGGGATGCCGCTTCTAATGAGTTTGTTTTAAATGTCTATATCCACAGTAATCCATAGGAGACACATCAGGGGACTTGTGTGAGATGCATTTAAAAAGAATAGCTTCAGTTCTGGTTTCATTTCTAATGCCCCCCCCCAAAAAAAATAAAGGAGTACATTTAGAGGTATGGCTGGGAGCCTTATCTTGATGGAACTTAACACATTGTAGAATGTTTGGATAAAGAGATGAAATTTCTTCTTTAAAAATGGGTGTTAAAACATATTTCTGATAATAATTCAAATTAATTTTGACATTTTTTTCTACTTATTTAAAATTCTTCTTTATAGGAAAATTCAGTAATAACCACAAAACCTTTAGAAAAACTTTCCTTGTTTTCTCTAAACCAACATAGTAAGTCTTTTTTTTCCTCTCTTTGAGTAGTAAATCGATCTTTTTCTATTGCACTCTCAGATAATTATATCCAAGAGTCATCAGTTGTAACTATATGTTATGTTTCCATTTTTCACCTGCCAGATAATTTTCATACGGCAATCTGCACATAGTCTTACGTTGAGAAATATGTTTTGGCGTTAATCCCTTCGCGCCGACTATCACGTCTACGTGCCAGCAACGAACACACTCACCTCCCGGCCGTCATGCTGGCGTGCCAGAGCATTTTCCCGTTTACTACCAACTGTCACGTATTTGTGCCAGTGTCCTAGAACGTTTTTAGAAACTATAATTTCCGCCACAAGATGGCACTGTATGTCCATATGGTTTCAGATACATGTACATTAGACCTACTCGAAATGAGAGAAGCGTGACTCACATACATGTGTTTTTGATTATATAAACAAACGAGGAACTAAATATTTCCGAATGGCGTGATTTATGATGTCTCTTTAAATCACACTTTATTCGCACATGGTAGTTGTTTATTGTAAGTAGAGAAGTTTCATATTGCGCTAAAGCGTTGGAGTATTTCGGTTTGCAGTTTAGTTTTTAGAAAATAATTAGATCTTATTAGACGTGAATTCTTTCTGTTTTTACTGTTGCAATGGAAGCGTCGAAAATGTTTAACAGAGCATGAAATAGCAGAAATGATGCAAAATATTTCAGATATTGATTCTGAAAGATTAACTAAAAGACATTTCCAAAACTTGTTCAGAAGGGACTGATAAGAAAATGAGACGACGGTGCTTCGTTTTTTCACATTCCCGGAAAAATCCTCCAAAACGGCAAATGAGTTATTACGAGTGCAAGGAACGTAACGTAGGACTGTGTGTAGATCCCTGTTTTCAAATTTTTCGTACGAAAAGAGAATTTTAAATAATATATTTAGTTTTCAGATGTATAATGTTAAAAGTCATAAAATGGTGAGTAATTAAAATAAAATGTGTAAAATATGCATTTAAACAAGAATTAAAGGTAATTAAAGTATATATATATAAATATTTGTAAAGCATAAGCCGTTTAAATACTCTATAGAGCATTATTAAACAATGTTTTGATACTTCGGAAATTTCATGGATTTAGGCTTAGTAGCAAAAAAGCCCCCGGCCCTGGAGAGACGCTCGCGTAAGACACTGCCGGCCTCCGCGATAAGCTCGCGTTTTCGCTACCCGGCTCAAAGGGGTTAAACAATGAACATCATTTTTTTTTATTAGCTTTAAATCAAATTTTATTTTGTTGTTCACACTTCCTAAAGAGATATTTAAAGATTTTGCATTAGCTCTTTGGGGGGCTGGATTTTGCCTTAGAACATGAGATGCAACATTAGATTTAATAAGAGCTGTATGTACCTTTGTTGGATATGCATTTTTTTCCTTTTTCCCAGTCAGATGTAAACTTTGACATTTCTTTCCTTTCATATTAGTTATGTCACTTATTTTACATGTAGAGATATTAAAACCGTGCTTTTTACATCTTTTTTTAATAATTGAATAAGAGTATTTCTCTTCGGACAGCGCAAAAAGAGAGCCTTCAATCCATTGTTTATTTTTCAGTAACATTTTAAAGAAAAGAATATTTTTAATTCTGCAGATAATGATTAAACTTTAATCCAATTTGATGTCAGTCACGTTTGTATTTTAAAATTAATATTTAAATTCATGGAGAAAATCAAAATCATTACAAAAATGTGTAAACACCCTCCACATATATCCTCGATTTGTCATTCTATGCATAATCCTACAAAATGAATATTGGAAAAAAGAAACAAAATTATTATCTTTTTTCATAGATTTAAGTAAATTTCTTCCATAAAATGCAGTAGGAGGCTTAAGCAAAATGATTAACAAAAATATTGTTTCTTTTTTGCATAGGTTTAATTCTTTGTATGATTCATATTTTACTTAGAGGTATTTATAAATTTTGGAGTATTTTAATTTAGAAGGAAGTATATATTGCCAGCAGATTTCTGAAATTAATGATGAGTTATTAATTTTTTATTTACACTTAGATATACATATTTTTAATCTTTACAATTATATGACCAGTTTTTGTATTGTACATACTAAAAAAATTAATAATGAGTTTGCATAAAAAAATTCTGAGCTAACATAGGGTTAACATCTGCATCTGCATTTTTACCTTTGTTTTTCTCATCTTGACACATACAATTCTGCATAGTGTATGCATGATGCTTTGGGTAATTTTCCAACTTTGATATATATATATATAATATATATAATATATATATATATATATATATATATATATAATGTTTTCTCTTATTTCAGAGAATGAATGAAACTGGCTGGGAATTCAGCCAACAAAGTCAGTTTGGTATCATATATGATCCTTCCGAATATGTCATTTTTCAGGCACAAATGTTGAAGATGGATACAATAGTAAGTATAAACCATGCTTTCCTTATATTGACTGGTAAAAACAGTGCATAAGTGTGGGAGTCATTTCAAAAGTATTGTATGCTAATTTTTGCCTAATCTACTTGTGAAAGACCCAAACAGGTTTTAGAAATTGTTTGTATTGAGCTTCATTCATGAATTCAAAATCTAAACAAGTCTGTAGAGCATATGGTGAGACTTTTCTCATTCACCTCAGCATTAAATTTTTTCTGCCTCTCTGATGTACATGGTTGTGCTTTGTCATGTAAAATGAGAGGGCATGTGTGAGCAGATCAGATTGGTTGCTGTGTATGTTTCTACATAGTATGTGAAGAAATGTGTGGAAGAAGTTCCTGTGACAATTGTCTCCCCCCCCCCAGTATTCTGATTGACTTGATGATGCCAGAGTTCTCGTATGTAATGATCATTATTTGTTTCACATGAACTAATTTAAAATTTTTCTTTCACATGATTTTATTCCATGGCTCATGTTTCATCTGTCACAGTAATTTGTTTCATGAAAATGTCTCCTTTAGCAACAGCCCTGTACTTCAATAATAGTATTCCGTTCATGTGAATTGGTTTCTATGCTGTTTGATTGTCATTAATGCAACCTCGGCTGGCTCTCTGCCATAAGAATTTTCCAATAGAATTGCTAGCTAGAAAACTGTACTAGTGAAGAGTTAATAGAGTAACCATGAATCTTAATGCCCCTGGATGAGTTGCTCTTTTTTCTCAAATAAAGCAGTCCAAATGGTACTTACATATTTTTGCCCTTAATTATGGGCTCTTGTGATCTAACCATATCTGATTACTTTTTTTAAAAATTCAAGTAATTAAAATGCAGACCAATTTTGATAGTTCCTGTAACATCTTCAGATTATTTCACATGCTGATTGCTTTTCATGTAAGCCAAATTGTGACAAATTTATGACTTTAAAAATTTTTTTCTGATACGATTTCAGATATTTTTTGCTGTTTTCAGCCTTCTTGTCAGGGAAACTATATTCTGGTTTACAGTATGATTACTGTATGTCCCATGCTAAGTCTTTTTGCATTTCCTTCATATATATGTTAAATCTGATATACAATTGTTGATCATCTTGCATCACAGCACCTATTGCTTCCTCCATCTCCTATAACAACTGAGGAGAGAGGGAGAACCATTCTGATGTCATCGCACAAACTCCATAGCATTGACACTTCATACAATACATTTGAAACGACCTTCATAACATTAATTCCTACTTACTGCTTATTTTAAATTTACAATTCAGATCAAATAACTTTATTGTTGCAACCCTATGAGACTGCTTATGTGGAATCATTTGTGTATAAATCTCTTTTCTTTTGTGTAATAACCATTTATCTTAATGCTTGTATCCAGAAATAAAATTCTTTAATAATATCTGCAATTTTTCTTCACATAAAACAGCTTTAATAAAGTGGTTTCTCTTCCCAGCAGCAGGTTTCCGTCTTTAGAATTTATCATTTAATATTTTGGAATTTTATTTGTCATTCACAGGCTTTATTATGCAAGGGGTGTACGGGACATAAACGTCCTACTGCACCCTTGGCTGAAAATGAAGAAAATTCACTCAGAGCAACTTAAGATCTCCACATCAACTAACCTGTCTTCTCCCTTCAGTGCCACAACTCTTCATTTAATTTTAATTCTTTGTGACCATTCCATGGATAGTGAAGTTTCATTGGGCAGGACTTGTACTTTTTTAGTGATTTAATGTTTCCAGCATTTCAAGAGAAGAAAATGCAACCTGCAGTGGTATAATGTCTGTTGAAAACTAGACTTTGTTATTTATGAAGAACATGCAAGAAACTCATGCTTAATTAAGAAAGTTCAAAATTATGTACTTCTGTAAAAGGTTGTAAGTAACCAAGTGTGAATTTTTTTATTTCTTAAGTCATAACTGCATTAAAATATATGTAAATTCATTAACTTTTATGACAGTGATTGTATATAATGTCTTTTAGGTTTAGACAATCTTGATTATTGGCAATAATTTTTGAAGTTTTTCTCTTTTATAGCTATATTTTAACTTTCTTTTAAAAGGAAATAGAATAAGATAATAGTAAAAAATGTTTTGAGTTTTGCATGTATGTCTTATAAACTTTTAATGTTAAGAATTTTTGTGGGTTGACAAAAAAAGGCTTCAAATGTCAAAATGCTCACCTGAAATTTATTTTATTTCATTGTTAAATGTCTCTTATACAAGAGTTTGCTATTGGCCAGCAAGGATTATTAAAATATAATATTTATTAAATTTATATTCAAAAGTGTCATGTAATGTAAGAAAATTCTTTTAAATTTAGAATTTTGTTATTTCTCTATAACATCTCTTCTTTTTCATTTGATATGCATTTTGAAGGTTCATGTGAATACAGATGTCCATTTCCATTTCTGTAAAGGAAACAAATATTTCTTTTTAAATGACCTGAATCTGTATGCGTATTATAATATACTTTTGTTTGCAACTTTTATGTAGTTGTAGGTATTTATAAAATACTTTAAGTAGCAATTTTTTTAAAAGTAATAAGCAATGATAAACTGTTTGTTAGAATTTGCAGAAATGTAAAATCTATTATCTTCATTTATTAGATCATCTACCTTTTTCTGTCATATTCGCTTCTGTCTTTTGTAATTACTGCTTTAATTCACTGTATTTTGTAAGAGGATAAGCTAAGTTTTGAACTAGGTAATACGTAGTTGTAGATAATTTGTTTCCTACTTATCTATTGTGTTAGAATTTTTTATTTTGTGTTTATTTTTTAAATTCCATATTTTTTAGCTTTGTCCTTTAAGGAAATTAAATAAGACATTACAGGATGTGTGTGGGGGGGGGGGAAGAATTATATATAGCAGCTTTGATAAAGTACTAGCATTTTTGCTCTGATTTCAGTCAGTTTTGTAAAAATATTTATAAGGTATAAAGCTCTTTGTTGACAGCTGAGTCTATAGCATCCCTCAAATTTGCTTTCCCTGCAGAATTATCATTGTATAATTGTTCAAGAGTTTTCTAGATCTCTGTTCATGGTTCATTCCACAGCATCATCTCGGTCTTCTCGGCAGCATTGTGTCATCTCTTTAGAAATACATTCTGTCTCTTGAAAAACCTCAGAACATGTTGTACCAGTTCTGCCAATATCTAAAACCACTGCAGGAGAATCATACTCCTAATATCAAAGATATTCTAAGTTAACTGTTCAAATTTATCTGGGGGAGACTGTGGGCACATTTATTTATAGGGGTAATGAATTTGGAGGATTGGATCATTGCATTAACCATACAGGACAATGATATATTAGGAACTGAGTTCAAAGTTATTATCCAATTAGCATCTAGAACCTACTTGCTTGTCTTTATACTGCTTGCCAAGCAAAATCAACTTTGCAGGCCAGCTAATTAAAGCTTTTGTCTGTTAGTTCCTACTCCTAAGTGAGAGATTCACACCTGACTTATATGGAGGCTGTTTGGGAAAAGGTAAATTTTGAAAGTGTGGAGATCTGAAAGTGAAGAGGGTATGAAAAATGATAAGTAATCCATGCTCATTTTGAATCAGATACTTGTACATAAGTAGGGATTTGCATGTCAGAGTATTGCCATAATCTAGGATCCAATAATTATTATGCACTCCAAGTACTGTAGGCAAAAACCTTCTTGGTGCTGAATTGCAGATAAGTTCCCTAAAATTGTTATGCATTCTGAGTACTCTAGGCAAATTCCTTCTCAGTGGTCAACTGCAGATAAGTTTATAGTACCGTGTCAAGTGAATTTGAAATATGTAGCTTTTTTTTTTTAAATTGAAAATGTATTGTTACTTTACTGTTTGAATGGTCCCAAAAAAGTGTTTCTTCATCTCTAGTGATAGTTAAATTTAAGACCATATTAGTCCACAGGGTTGGCAAGTTTCTTCCACTAAAAGATATATTACTAATTGAAATGTTTTAATATTATATATAATTTAACTAGTCTCATTTGTATGCTTGCTATAACTTTTTAGTAGACTGTATATGTATGTGTATTTTATATACTTGCTGTGAAATCTACTTTGTATCTGTTAATTGAGATAGATTCCAAAATTCAATTTTAGTGCATATCAATAGCAAAAGGTAACAAAATAACATAATTTAGAAAGAACAGGAAACAAAATTAAATTACAAAACTGAATGTCTATAATCAATAAAACAGTGTAACATAACATTTTTTGCTTTTGCATGCAGCATTTTTTTATAATTTTGAAGGAATAACTTCAAAGCAGAAGAAAATTTACTTTAATCCTATAGAATTTTAGTCTCAACTATGTTATACACGTCGTGAAATTTTAGAAGTGTTGTATTCCTTTCTACCATATAGCATAATGGCATCAGGCCAAAACAAGATTTTGGAAATAGTGTATTCTCAGTTAGGTTAGCAAGTTTCTTTTCTAGTGGGAAAATTAATTTTTTTACTTATTTTGTATGATTATATTTTATGCATATATAATGCCATTAAATTATTATTCAGTTTAAATATTTTTTATATGTGTAACTAGCCTCATTTAATCTGACTGTAGTAACCTTCTTTGGGTAATATTTAAAAGATTTTGAAACTGAATTTTTATTCATAACAGCAATAAAAATGAAAAATTGGGATATACATTTAAAAAGGATAGAAAGCAGAGTTGAGTTAATTATTAAAAACTGAATCTACATCATCATTAACATACTGTAACAATATATATATATATATTGCTGTTGCATGCAGTTTTTGTAGTTCTTAATGGATCAGTCAAAAGAATGAATTTGATCTAATCCTGCCGAGTTTGAAGGAAAGCTTAACAGAATTTTAACTGTATTACATAGTTCATGTGGAGTTTCAGAAATTCTTTACATTATTATCCACTACAAAGCAGGATTTAACTTACAATATTTTAAATTGTAATGAGGATTTTGTTATTGGCCAGCATGTTAAACAGAAAACATTTCATGGAATGTAACATCAGTAAATAAAACAAAGTATTCTACCAGTTTCTCACTTGATGTTTTCAAGAAAGTTATGTAATTACTTTGCATTTTATTGTAGAACTAATAAAATGCCCCATTGGGTGCATCATTTTTCATTCTTTCAGTTTTTACCCTTTTCTGGTTTTTAAATTTTTTTTTTCACCTATCATGAAAAAAATACACATCTTCCAGATGAAACCCAAATCTACATAGAAGTTTCAAGGGAAAATGTGCTGAAATATTTTATGCCTATTTTATAGACATCTTTTGTTTAAAAAAAATAAATTCTTTCTGTAAATTTTTGAATTGTTTGTTATTTCTTGAGTTACTTAACTCTTTCGCATCGAGAGAGGGCAAAATCTCTGTTCCCCAAACATCGAAAACGCCTGTGTCTAAGAATTTCTCCTGGAATGCTTTTCCTTCCCCCATGACAAATTGAATACTACAACGCTAACAATAACCTACTTAAGTAAAGCGAGAACTTCTTTCTTGGACGTTTTCACCCTGTGTGAAGTTCCCCCTTGGGATGGGATTGCAACTTCGAGCATCAAAAGCTAAAAACTGACAGTAAACAAAGGAAAGAGAAGGTGCATTAAAATAATAGAACTACTTTTAGTAGCTTCAAAAGAATGATTGACATGTCATTTAACAACACCTGAAAGCAATGAGTAATGCAGTAACGTGATGGGGGAAAGCATTAGGTAAGAAGTTATTCAGGCGTTTCGGGCGTCCAGCCGATGTCTGAATGCTCGGGCATTTGGGGCAACTTTGATACGAGAGTTAAATGCTGACAAAATTTGTTTCTTTGTTTTTCATATTATATTTACATTTTTCGACTTAAAAAAAATATTCTTTTTTCGATTAGTACGTAGAATTCGATAAGTACATTGTTCTCTTGATGCAACTCTTGATCATGTCATGAGTGATTCCCTTTATTTCTATGTCATATAAATGCCATATTTCAAAATTATTTGCATTTATTTGAAAAATAAAAATTCTAAATAAAAATATTTTTTGGGAACATATGAGCATATTTTGGAAAATATCCTGAAAAGCCATTACCTTTTAAGTTGTAATTTCCTTGTTTTAAATCATTGTATATTACTATTAGTATAGTTTTATATATATATTTATTTAATATAATCCTAATAAATAAATACTAGTAGCGGTAATAGTAATTGATTATATTAAATCATCTAAGAAAATTATTTTTCTTCACAGTTTTTGCACACATTAGCTATAAATTTAAAATATTTAGATACCAATTAATAACATAACATTATAGTCTGACTAATTTGTTAATTTTATGTATGAATTATATCTTTTGTTAAAGAATTTTAAATGAGATCTTAAATCAATTTCATTTGATTAAAATCAATATCTGTTACTTAGTATAGTATTTTATTTTTGCTGTGCTATATAATAACTAGCTTTTTAAGTAACAGTTACTATAAAGTCATTCTTTTTCAGGCTTATATGGTAGACTTCTACGTGCACGAGTCTGATATTCCAGAACATATAGGCTTTTGTTACATTCTGCCCAGTAATATGAGAGATACTTCTGGTACATGCAACATGCCTATATCTGGTAAAAGGCAGCAGCCTATAGGGCAGTTATCTGGTGAGTAATCTGTAATTAAAATGAATATTAAAAATATTCTGAAAGCTGTATCAGTTTAGTTGTTAGAGTTATGTTTCAACTATGCATTGAGCTATAGCTGAAAAACTAGTGCAGAATTTTTAAAATTTTGGATAATTTTTTTAAAATTAGTTCACAGATTGTATATAAAATGTTTGTTGTCTGTAGTGGAGTATTTAATTGTCCGTCCCATGAAAGACTTTGTCTGTGATCTCAGTGTAACATATGCTAAGCATTGGAAAAAACTGGACAAAAAGGCCTTGGATGTTGGGCATCGAGGTGCTGGAAATGCTCGAAGAAACGATAAGTATGTGAAAGATTTATGCTCACTTTCATTTGAATAATGATGTTCATGTATGCTCTTTTTATCCCTAAAACGACCTTGGATTTTTTAATTGTACTTTAATTACAAAGGAAAAGAGAGATCTATCACCTAACTTTGTATAAATCTATTTGCGTTTTACATTGTTGAATTTTTCTTATGGTCTTTACTTTCTTACCTGAATACTCTGCTACTGTGAGTGATTCATCAGATTTCTAAATGCTATATTTTTAAAAGCATTCATGCAATAATTATCAATACATGAAAAGCATTGAATCCTCACATGCTATGAATGTTCAACATGTCCCACAACATCTTGGCCTCACAACACACATCCAACAGACAGTTAAGTTTGGGCTATACCTTTAGTAGAATGACCATCACATCTGATTTAATTCTGTGCTACATCTTCCTTTGGAGCTACATTTCTCCACTGCCAGTAATGTTGATAGAGCCAAGAGAGCACACCAGTCCTGTTGTGATGACCACTAGCACGAGAATGCTGCAAAAGGTATGGCCCAAACTAAGTTACACTTGGATGTGTCATGTGACCAACAGAGCACTCAAAAAACAAGTGGAAAACTTGTTAGTTTCTAATTCATTTTGTATATTGATTATAATTGTTTGGGTATTATTTATTATTATATATATAATTCTTTTAAAAATACACCATTTTGGAATCTGATAATAATTAATAGTAGCGCCTGTGTGGTTACTGCTTTTTATATAGCCTGCATTCCCTTTGGACTTTTTACTCATATCACCGTTTGGCATCTTTAGCTTTTTATTTTTGTTATACTTCTGCAGTACAGATAAAAATATACTTATTGGTGCCCCTTGGTGAAAATTGGCGATTTGGGGCAGTACATGGATACTGAGTTTGTGTAATTTCTTTGACCTGTTATTTTGGCTTTGTGTAGCGGCGATTTTTGCACCAAAAATCACCACTACACTAAGCCAAAATAACAAGTCAAAGAATTGCACGAACTCTGTATCCATGTACACATCAACCTATTTTCACTTTAAAAAAATCGGAGATTTGCATAAACTTGGCATTGCGTACTCCCTTGACTTTGTCCAAGTACACTTCGATCTATTTTCACTTAAAAAGTCAAAGGAGCAGCCAACAAAAAATATATAATCTCAATAAACTACATTTTAAATCAAACAATGAAATAACATAAAAAAGGAAAATCATCTTAGCACTACACAAAGGAAATATCCACTTACCTTATTTAGAAATTTCTGTCTTCAGTCAAACAAAATTCCTTAACAGCACCCAAAAACTTCCTAAAATTATATGAACTAGAATCTGTATACTGGTGTCACCACATAAATTCTCAAAGATAAGAGTAAAAAATAGCCTCCATAGTGCCTGGATCCTCCAACGTTCGGCCATGTGCATTTCCTTCTAAAACAGGACACTTATAATGGCTACTAAGTAAACCTTCATTTACACACCAGGTCAATTAATGCTCTTTACCCCCTTTCATTCCAAATTGCACATAAACTTCAAATTAATTTTACCACATTCAGCCACTTTATCGTCTAAACCACAAAACAAGAAATGAACTTCCTAACCAATAACCAAGACACACCACAAGCCTTTATAAATCTTTTCTCATTATTCAAATTCACCACGATCACTCAACCAATTGCGATCACTCAACCAATTGCGTCATAATAGGGTTTCCATAACATTCAACTACTCAGGTTACCATAAATGAAACAACTACTTGGCGATAAATGAAACACCGACTTCATGATAATACAAGGGGCATCCTTAAATCTACTCTAACCGCATTATCATTTCTGGTATTTTGTTGTGCACTTTTTATGCTTTATTTGTATTATGTATTAAAATATATCAATTTCTACTCTCTTATTTACTAGTAGAGTTTAGTTCGGGTACACATACATGAATTGTTTATCTTTTTTAGAGTTGAAAATGTTTTAGAAAATACGGTTGCATCTTTTAATTATGCTGCCAAACATGTGAGTAATTTTTTTTTCTTTGGAAATTCACCTTAATTTTTTATTTTTTAAATTTCTCATTTGTGTGTTTGTATTATAACAACAGGGAGCAGATATGGTTGAATTAGATGTACAATTGTCCAAAGATATGGTTCCTGTCATTTATCATGATTACTATATTTGCATTTCAATGAAAAAGGTGAGCTTTATTTGAAATATTTAGTTTTCTGGCTTATATATGTACTAATATTATTACATATATATGTACTAAGAATCTCATTTCTTCCACGTAGAAAAGAAACCCTCATGAACATGAGTTACTCCAGCTTGCTGTTAAAGATCTTACTGCTCAGCAGTTACAGATGTTGAAGGTAAAAGTATTTATTGTTGTAGTATATATTTTTATCATGCATTCGTTATCCAATTCTTTTCATTTTTATTTAAATTTGTATTTAGAAATTGAATGAGGCCCTTTAAAATTATATAAAGGGTTTTTTTAAAGTGAAAAATGCATTAAATAGTTATACATTGATATAGTTATTTAGTACCAACTTTTACTAAAGCAAATATTTTAGATTTGTAATATTTATATTTTTAATATCTGTTTAATATGCATTTTCGGTAATGAAATGGGCACGCAAAGAAAGCCCTGAACAAAACTAAAATATTTTTGCTGTAATGTGTGAGATGAATAAATAGAATATATAATTATAAATAAAGTGCAGCAGATCATTACACTGAGATGTGTAGCATGCAGTCTGGTTATTTCTTACAAGCATCTACCGAAGCACTGTATCTTTGTGTTCTGGATAATATATTGCAGTTGTAGTATGTTTTTTCCCTATGTTCCAATTTTGCATAAATAAATTCTGTAAACATAATTTGAAGCAAAAAATTTAATGAATAAAACTTTTATAACTCAAATGAACTAGGTGTATTAAATTTTATAGATAATGTATAAATATTCTGAAGTGGTAGGTTTCCCTTTACACAGAATCAAATTGTAAGTTCTATAACAGTACAGCAATGTACTGTTATAGAACTTATAAAATTTGACTGAGTTATGTTTTATATCTTGCATAATCAAATTTCTTCTTTTATTTATTTTTTCGCTTTGAGGTAAATTATAATAAGTGTTTTCTGTCCCCTTACTTGCATGTATTTTTTAAATTTAATAATTTATAATGTTAGAATCCAAGTTATTTTATTGTTAACCCTACCCTAAGTATGTACATTGCTTTCTTTGCGATTTTTTTTATAACTTTAAAGGAAAGTGTTGTAAATTAATCATATATATTGCATAATTTCATCATAAATAAATATACATTTTTATTTGTTTTTATATCAAATAAAAGGGTTTTATGCATTTTTAGAGACAGATCTTAAGAGATCCATTTAAGAGTAAATTATTATATATAAACGCCTTTATTTAATCATCATAAATGTACTGTTTGAGTATTTATTACCATCAGCTGAAGAAAAGAGAATATTCCATTTCCTTTGTGAAATAATCAGATTTTCACAGCGGACAGAGAAAATCTTTCTCTTGAGAGAGAGAAACTTAAATAACTTTCTCTTAGAGATGTAACTTTTATAAACTTTCTCTTCTTGAGAGAGGGAAAATTTTGCCATTTTCTTTCGAAATGCATTGAATCATTTGTACTGTTCCGTTATCGAGACAGGATTCAGAAATGTATTGTATGTGCATATATGTGTATATACACAGACACACATTCATGCTTACATATATTTCTGCATTCGGTCCCTTGATAACAGAACAAAACCAAATCATTTTATTTAATATTAATATCTAACAAAGATCAAACTTTAACAATGATCAAATTTGTGTGCACATATGTATATAAATAATTAATATGTACCATGTAAAAATCAGACTTTTCATCCCTTGAATACATATTTATTTTGCCTTGCTTTATGTGGTTATAATGAAGTTAAATTTCTGTAAAATGCTTTTTTCCAGCTCAGTCCTGTTGCTTCTGGTAAGTTAATTAAAATTGTTTATTTGTTGCTTTTTATTGAATTAGATGAAATAATATTTGTCCTTTATGAAGGGAATTATAAATCCTCAATTTTAATTTCTTATTTTTCTTCCGTTGAAGTAATTTATTTAAATGTTTCTTTACTTTAAATGATTTGATCATTATCATGTCATAATAAAAGCAGGATTTTCTTATTACATTTCTGTCTTTTTCTGATGCAGTTTTATATTTTTAATCTGTTAAACTTTTAAAATTTACTAGGGTCTTATTAAAGAAATAACTAAAAGAAACAATATATTTTATTTTGCAGTGAATAATCTTTTTGGTAACCATATCTTATGAAATCTATCACTTTTAGTTAGCTAGTTATTTTAGATGGTGGCGCTAAAATTGTTTAAGTCACTTCTTTTTTTTTTTTCCATTTTGTGGCATGTTCAAATTAAAAAATAGTGTCTTATTGACACAAGCTAAGAAATAAATAATAACGAATTTAAAGCAGTGGATTGCATACCACATGATTAAAACATTTGTTATTGCATAGTTGGAGATGGTTTATAATGGTTTTTAATATATTTTAATATTATATAAACTGTTTAGTATTTGACTCTTCAAATTATTTGTTCAACTATTATAAAAATTCAGAGCATTAAATGAAAATTTTGATTGTAATATTTGCAACATGCAGTCAAACTTTCATAAACATAAAAGGGGAAAAAATACAAATTTGACATTTAGTTCAAGTAAATATGCAGAGTTAAAAAAAGAAAGGAAATTCTTCATAGTTTAAAAAAATAAGCAAGTAATGTCATTCTCTTTTAATCACACAGTAGACATATTTATGTCCTTTTTGATAATTTGTTCTTTTATTTTATTGCCAAGTCTATTTAATACAGTCTTAATATTTTTTTTAACTGACATTTGTTCGGCTAAGAATTAGTGTTATCTTCTTGCGATAGGCTAACTATAAGTGACTGTGAGCAATTTGTGGCGTACATTGATACAATTTAAATAATGGGGATGGGGACTGTAGTTATGAAGCAATACCTTTTAAAGACTGTTGTTTTATAGGCTTCATTCTGTTCATAATAGTAAATTTTGTATACTAATGCTGAGTATAGTTGGTATCCATGGGAAGATACATGGCAAATTGTGGAAGTGCATATTTCCTTAATTTACTCATAAGCATTTAAAATTCAGTCATTACATATTAGCATAATCACCTGAGAATCGCAAATTCTAAAAATGTGCCAAATTCTAGAAACCATGTACTAGGCAACCACATGCATATAGTTGTTCAAATTTTTAACAAGCGACATCACAATATTTCATATGCATATATTTAATATGCAATTTTCATATGCATTCTTTTCTTTGTATTTTATGTTCCAGTAGTAAATCATGATATTTTTTTGTTTTAAAACTCTGTTTGAAATATATATTTGCCGGATTTTTCTTCAGTTGAAAGTAACTGCCATAAAATTTGCAGGAATATAGTATTTTCCCCAAAATCATCAAAAGGAGCATTTGGTTTGAATTTATTTCTTGGTGATTGCTTTAAGATTGCCCTAAAATTTGTATCCGAACAAAAGAAACAAAATCCCATTTTAAATAAATTTATTGATTGTTTTTTGGGGATAAATGCCTAATTGTGAAAGGTAAAATGTATATGTAATATTTTTTTTGGCAATTGTTAAGTCATCATTCTTTTTTTATCTTTAAAAAAAGAAAAAAAAAAAAAAGAGAGAAGGAAAGAAAACGCACCAACGTGTGTGGGCTAAAATGAAGTACAGAAAATTTTCAAGTTGAAGATGCATTGTTTGCGAAAAAAATTGACTTGTATACAGATATTAATCCCTGCCTTATAAATCAATGATTTTGAAATACATTTATAAATTTTTAAATTTATTGTTTGGTAATATTCTGTTAATAGGGCACCACTTAACACCAAACATACATATTGATGTGAAATCTAACTAGGTAGCGGCAACAATAGCGATACATAAAGTTTCTTGGAGGGGGGGACGAGACATGTAATTTGTATCATGTATATTTTATGTATATATATATAATGTTTAATGTGTGCAGTCCCGAAGCTGTTTGTGGCACCGAATTTATGCAACTGTCTGATTTTGTTTTAAGTGAAAACAGATTGCTCTATTTGCGTGCATAAAAAACATCAAAGAGTTACTCATATTAGCTTTTGACCACATTAAACATTATTAAACATCACGCAAGTTTTGTTGTTGTCATGTCTATGATAAAGCCTATTGAAATACTGCCATGAGTGAAGATGGCTGCCCTGGCAATCAGCAAAATTTTATCATCATAGAGGTTCAGTCCCTTGAACAAGACCTTAACAAAAGCAATGATGGCCAGACAATCAAAAACGTGTGCAGTTGTCAGTTCTGTGTCCACACAGTTATCCTTAGGTTTTCCTACTCTTTCTATCAATTTTCAATCTTTCGTGATGGCCAGTTGTAAGTTTGACTGTGGTTTTAATTCTAAGTTGATCTCCATTGATGTTATGGGCTGATAATTTATTGGAATTGAAGGTTCCTTCAATCTGTATTTGACCATTGCATTTATTTCCAAGAGGGTGACATTTACATTATTATTATGATTGAGATTTCAATTCACTTTTGCCAGTTTGTCTGCATTCTCATTACCTGTGATGTTGACATAAACTGGCAACTGTTGGAGAATGCAGACCTTATCTAACTTCTGAAGCTCATTAAGATGAAAGTGGATCCCATTGGTGATTAGGGAGCTTCCATTCCAAAATTGCCTGTTGAGCTGCCTTTGAGTCACAGAAGACAACAGTCATCATAGAAAGGAGTGTGCCATTGCCTGAAGGGTTGTATTTATGCCTGTTTGTCCATGGAAGGTGTTTTATTTCCGTTCTGCCATGCAAGGGAAAACCAGTGGAGGCATTCTTCTATCCACCATCTGGGGACGTGCTTTCTAGGAGTTACATGCCCAGGTATTCATGATGTGATATAATAAAAGCTGCCATATTTAGGACTTGGGTGCACATTTGCCAACTGGTGCCCCATTAACAAAAAACACTGGTTTTATTAATTTTAGTTTGACTTAAAATGTAACCAAAATTTTATTCATTTTTTATGTGATAATTTTGTCTATGTGTTTTAAATCACAGCCAAAAGATCACAGGTTTTAAAATCCATCATAAAAATACAACAAGTATTAAAAAAAATCTTAAAATTTCCCATACCATGACAAAACTGCAGTATAGTTACAGTATGCTTCTATCTGCAACAAAGTGAATTTTTATGACAAGCTACACCATAAAGAAAAGGTTAAATCATATTTTTAATACTAATACCAGAATTACTCTATTGCATATTTAATAATGTATTTATTTTCATAGAAGATATATAATAAAATGAAATAATTCAAGCTTTGTTACTTATTCTGATTTTATAGAAAAGTATCAAATAAAGTTTAATGCTCTTTTAAATTGGGTGTTATCTGTAAATTTTGGTATACTGTTATTTTTTAAATCGTAAAAAATAAAGCATATTTATCTTTATGGGCTCATCTCACTTTATCTCCCTTATGTAATATATATATGATCTACAGATGGAAAACATGGAAATGAACTTCATGATTTTCATGAAGATGACTATGAAGACAATCAACCATTCCCCACCTTGAAACATGTTTTAGAAGCTGTGGATCCAAGGGTTGGTTTCAATATAGAAATTAAGTGTCCCATGCAGTACCATGTACGTGTAAAGAATTTTTTAGTCTAATTTTATTAAACTATACATTTGTTTAAAGTGAAAATTAAATTTTGATTGTGTGTTTTCAGGATGGTACATGGGAACTGGACCATAGATTTGAAATGAATACTTACATTGATAATATTTTGAAAGACATTTTAGAAAATGCTGGCAATCGTTACATCCTTCTGTCCTGTTTTCATCCTGATATATGTTCTATGTGAGTTCAATAATTTGAAAATAATTTGCAGGGGGTCTACAAATTTCTGTAAAAGAATTGTACTTTGAGAATGATTCCAATAAGATAAGCATGAAAATATTTTATTGAAGGTCCTAATGCTGATATTATCAAAAACATTGCATATTTAAATTAAAGTGCTGTTATTAGGGAGCAGAGAATATTGCTTAGATTAACTTTTTGTTTCTGTGTTCATACATTTTATGAGAAATAGGTATTGTTTGGTATGGAACAAAGAGTGTGTACATTTTCACATATCCCACATAATTTATTAGAAAAATGTAATCTGAATTATTTTTAAATTAAAAACATATTTTTTATTTATAATCATATTCTTGCATAAATGTGACTTATTCAAACTTTAGTTATTAGATAGATTGTCATAAGCAGTTATCTAATAGTTTATTATTTCATACAGCATTCAGTAACATTCATTTTTTAATAGAACAGTAAATTTGTTTTTAAAGTTCAGTAGATTTTTTCAGATATAATCTGCAAATTTTTAACTTTTTCTGCATTGTTTATGATTGTAAAACTATTTTCTTTACTTAAGTAATTAAATTTTTCTTCATTAGAATTAAAAACTTTCATCTGAAAAATAAGAAAAACTAAACTTTTAGAATATGAAAAGGGTCATTTTCCTAAGCCACACAAAGTTGTAGTATTATATGATCATTATCCACAAACAGTGCTCTTGCCAGACAATCCTTTTCTAAATGTAAAAATGTGTTAACAAGCAATAGAATGAAGGGGGAATTCTGTGTAAAATATATCATTTAAATGGAAATCTCATTTTAATATAATGCTGAAAGAACTGTCAGCTTGATTTATAAAGCCATAGCTCAGAGTAAGTAAGCAGCATACAGTTGTACACTACTTATTTGTGCTGCTGCTGTATATCTTATAAAAAATTTTTAAATATTATATCTCGGCCATAAATTGTGAAACTTGGCTCCTAAAATTTCAGGATTCACTCCCTTCCCATGGTAAAATGACACCACTATTAATAAGTTATGCTTTTATCTAAATTGTCTGAAAATAAAAATCTTCCCCATGATACTTTTTTTGGAGGTAATCTTTTGTTCAATTCATTTCTTCTCTGTTTATTTTTAAAATCATGTTTGATATGTATATAAATAAATCATAAACCTAAATAGTATAAATACCAAATTTATCAGGGAATAATAGTTTATAATATTATTACACCTCCCTTTTTAACCTCTAGAGAAAGAGTACAGTGTTATATTATCAATAGTGGGATTCAAATAATTTAAAAACTTATTTGCTGCATTGTTATCTGAAATAAATTTATAGGCTGAGGCTTTAAATATTTATCTTATGCACCTTATACATTGAAAAAAATATGTAGTTTAATAATTATAACAACAAAAATAAGCTTTACTCCACAATCTACTTGTTCTCTTTTGCTTTTTGTAGTCTATACTGAATAATTAAGTAGGTAGCAGTTTAATACATAGTATTTCCAGTACAATTTTAACAATCTCTCCATCAACACAATCTTTTCTAGGAAGAACCACTGTAAAAAAATAAAACCCACCACTGATTTTAGTGCATTAAAAATTCTGTTCATTCTGTGTCACTCTCTGTTCATCACATTTTATCATGTTAAGGTAGAATGTTTTACTGTACTCTTTTTCATTTATGCAATGTGAATAGTTTGAGTACTGTTGTGTAATCTGTAGCAATTAGCATCTCTGCAGTTAGCTGTATCATGAAATTAGGAATTATTAAATACTTTTACTATTTTATATGGTTTAATTTAAATTCTGTGTGATCTTGTATTTGAGATTTGTAGACTCCTGAATATATGCCATGAAACTACTTTTCCCAGTTCCATGTTAAAATTGTCTGTTGTGTAATAATTCTTTCTTGTTTAGGATTCGACTCAAACAAAATAAATATCCACTTCTTTTTTTGACACAAGGCCAAACTGATAAATATCCACCTTATTTTGACACAAGGACTGCAACCACACCCATGGCTACATATTTTGCTCTTAATTTGGGGCTTTTGGTGAGAATAATTTAAATATTTTGTGTTTTTTTTTTTTAGTACAATCCTTTTTTTTTTTTTTTTTTTTTCTTCTTTTTTGTAAACTTTTATAAAATAAAAAATTAAGATTTTTAGTTTATGAATTTTCACAGTAATTAGAAATTTCAAATTACTTTTTGCTTATTTTTAAGTCTGTGTATCTTTTATACATAATTATGCCAAAGAAAAAGTGTCATTAATTTAGTGTGATAGTTACATTGATATTAATACTAGATCTTTTTTCTTTGGAAATACTTTAACACAGCCACCACTGCTTTATAAAAATGTAATAGCATTTACTTATGCAAATAATTATTCACCTGGGGAATAATACATTTTAACATTTATGATAGATTAATAGCCTTACTTAGTTAAGAGTTGTAAGAAAAGATGTAAGCAAATAAATATAAACCCCACATGGCCAAATAATATAATGAAAAAAATTAAATATAATAATTAAGGCAAATACTTATGTATACATTATAGTTATTAATGAGGATTTGCCTAATCGATTTATAAACACAGAAAAAATTGAAAAATATTTTTATGTGTATAGATGCACAATATAGGTTTTTTTTTAAATAGATTGCTGAGATGCTCTAGCACCCAAGGTAATGCCATTTTTGTGCCGGGTGTACAGTGAGTGGTCAAATGGTGGCACTTTTGGAAAAATTGTTGTTTTTGAACTTTGTTGATTATAGAAAATGTTCGTTCGCAAAAGGCAAACACTTGTATATATTCATTTTAAAGAGAATATTACTGAATGCAATACAAAAACACAAAATTCAGTTATTTGCATGCAAAAAAGTTAATGTGTACAAAAATGTCAGCTTTCCGGCCATTCACTGTTCTTATTCTGAGAACCAATGTTAGTAAATGCAGTAGAAGCTGACATCATGTTACACTGAAAGAACCAATTCCTTATTTTGCTTTTTTCTGTGAGGCGGACTGTTTCTTTTACACTGCAATTACAAGTAGGAATTTTGTAAAAATTTTAATATTAGTCAAGAAGCAATGAAATCAAAAGAAGAGTAGATGGGGACACCTGAAAGAGATGTAATATTTATTGTGTTAAGAGGAAAGTGAGTCTTCGTATGCAGAAATTGAAGAAGGTGGTGGTTCAGTGACTACATCTGGAGTTCGAATTTTTTTTTTACGATATCAGGAGACATATTTAATAAAAAACAAAGAAGGAAAAGGGCAGAAAAGGGTGCACCACATCTATTGATTACAGAAGAATAAAAAAGATATGTCTCCAGCTGAAAATGCATTCAAGCGGCCATCAGAAGTGTCTGAATGATGTGGTGTTTTGTCAGTTCAAGAACAATCAGAAAGATTAACGATGTTGGATGCTGAGAGGTAGATTCCATGAAAAAAGCATATCTAATTCAGCAACGAAAAAAAAAAAAAAAAAAAGAATCATTACAGTGGGCCAAAAAGAACACATAATTGGACAGATGATCAGTGGTCACAAGTTATATGGAGGAGTATAAAGATATGCATAAGATATCTTATTCGGTAGTGATGGGCGAAATATGTAAGAGTTAGAATCGGAGAAGAGCTAATCGAACTGCATTTAAAGCAAATGTGAAGAGAACCCAGTTGGTGTTATGATTTGGTAGCATGTCAGCGATGGGTTATTGGTCGCCTTCAATGCACGATGGGACCGATGCAGAAAATACATTGACACTATTCTAGAACCAAAATTCTACCTTCCATCCGAGGATCTCTTTCCCAAACAATGCTTCGGTTTATTATTCCATCAGGATTCTGTCCTTGCCACAAGGCCACAAATCGAAAGATGAAGAGTGGTTTATACAAGAGCATATAAATTGTTTGTCATGGCCAGGAAACAGTCATGAAATCAATTCCTATTAAATTTGAGGCACCCTCAAATAAAGGAAACTAATTGAGGCTAGATTATTTTCTGGCATCATGTATAACGACAAGAAAGAGCTTAAAACTCTTGTCAGCTCAATTTTTCCAATAAATTTCTCTCAATTCAGCTCAATAAATTTCTCTTTAAAATGATATATACAAGTTTGCATTTTGTGAAATGTAACGTTTTCTATAAGCATACAAAGTTCAAAAACATAAAAATTTCCAAAAGTGTCCACAATTTTGGCCACCACTGTATGTATTTTTTAACCTCAGGGTTTTGTGATTTTGATGAATAGCAGAAATTGATGATGTGAAAGAGCAGTGCATATATGTTGAAAATGCTTTTAACCATACATGAACCTATAAATGATATAATTGACCCAAAATTAGTGAGGGGGGTAAAAAGGTTTTTCATCATGAGAGTGCACCTACTCGAACCTCATTTGCTGCTTAGCAGTTTTTGACATTCAACAATATGGCAGTTCTCTCTCATCCCTTTACTCTCTAGATTTAGCTTCTAGTAACTTCTTCACATTATGAAAATGAAGCTAAAATAATAATAGCACCATAAATTAAATCTAGGAAAAGTTAGAGTACTAAAAGGTGATGATTTAAGATTATGATCATTCCCACGAAAAGTTTTGGAATCTGTGATTAATGATTATTTCAAAGATTATGAAAGAAAATAAGTTCCATACATTAGTATGTTTTAATAGAGGAATTTCGTGAATTTACAGATAATCCCTCATGCAATAAGAATAAAGTTCAGAAATTTTCACAAAAACCCACTTTTGTGTAGAAGTCAACCCATTGTGAACCACTGATCTAGATCAAGTAATAATTACAAAAAATACAGTTATAACTTTAATACAGTCAAAAGTCGTTAATTCGGAACCCTAAATCGGACCCAAGCTAAAAACTTCGGCATGCCGCGTTGAACATGCGCACAGGTTTTACGGTGCGCGTAGAAATGATAATGCGCATATTGCGTGGGCAAGTGCAGAATACGTCGCCGCGTGTTAACGTATAAGGACGGTGTTGGCTAAATATATAATCTATTTCAGTAAGTTAATATGGTTGTTCCTAATCTGATATTATCCCTTATTTTTGCAGACTGTAGAGCAATTATAAAAGTCGAAATTTCGATTAGTCAAATAGAATTCCGATGTGGAACTTCCAAAGGATCTACAAAACGAAAGTATGTTCAATGTCCAACAAATAAAAAGTGGATTGCTGAAAAAATGGATAGAAAAGAATGAAGAAGTGAAGGCGGTTATGAAAACGAAAAAAAAATTTCCTGCAGTTAGTCGTATTCGGCACAGCAATTAACGGGACCTTGACAGGGACTTTTAACTGAAAAGAAATGACGTTTGTTTATAGAATAAAGAAGTAGAAGATATCATAAAATGAAGAACTAAAAAACTTACATTGAAGAATGTTAATAAAGTAAACAAATAATATAAGCTTTTTTTTTTTTGTAAATTTTGATCCCTTAGATCATAATTGTTCTTTTAAAAATTACGTTTCATTTTTAATTTTAGATTTCTGCTATGCCATCTTACAAGATTAACGGAATGATCTTAATCCGGAAGAAAAAGCGATAATCCGGAATCGCCAAAGTCCCGACGAGTCCGGATTAACGACTTTTGACTGTAATATTCCAAATTTGGAAAACATATTCGACATTTTAAAATCAAGTTGATATTTTGATTAATAGGAAAAGATAGTATAATAATATATGCACATAAAAATTTAAGTTTGATGTTTATAACATTCGATTTTCTCCATCAACAGAAGTGTTGTTAAATAAATTCAGTAAGTTGATGTCAAATTTTTAAAGTAATTCACTACCTGGTTGTTATGCAAGTTCTGAATTAAATTTCAGGGTATCAGTGTGCATGCAGAAGACCTCATTCGAGATGGATCACTTATACCCTTTGTTAAAGACAGAAAATTAATCTTATTTTGTTGGGGTGATGACATCAATCACAGCGATGTCATAAAATCACTGAAGGAGCAGGGAGTGGATGGAGTCATTTATGACAAGTGAGTCTTATATTAAATGCAAACTATTTAATATGTTAAACAATTTTCATATGTAGACTAGTTATGCACTAAAACAATGATAAAAAACTCAAATTCATTTTCATTATTATTATTAATTTATATTTCATTTGTCAGAGACAGAAAATTTTCAAAATTTCAATTTTTAGTTTATATTTCTATTAAATATGTTAAAAATAAGGATACATTTTTAAATATTAAATATGTGCAGTATGAAAACAGAGATCCGAAATTGTTGGCAGTTCTGGATTTTAGATCCTCAGTTTAAAACTTGTAAGATGGCCTATAGAAATTAGGAAATTAAAAATATGAAATAGTGAATTTATGAAATAATAAAGCATTTATGACTTTAAAGTAATCAAAATTTACCAAAAAATCTATTTGTTTTATTTAAAATTTTTTCAGTGTAATTTTTTTATTAATAATAATGCTTTAATTTTGTAAATGGACATTATTTCTTATTCAGTTATAATTGTGGTACCAAGAATTCCCTGCGATCGCAATGAAAAACATCTTCATTTATTATATTTTCTTCACAAATTCCATTAATTAGAAAATTTTGCCTTTTGCTTGTGATATCTGAAATTCTTCCGATTTGTGCCCGTCATTATCATCACCACGAAATATGGTAGCCCACCATAAATTATGCTGAGTACTTTTTAAAATACCTGCAGACGGGTCCTCCATGACTTTGCGATATCCTGTACAGCAGACTTTATGTTAAAATATTTCAAAAATTCTTGAATGATCGTGTCACTATTTAGAAGATTTGGCATAAATTTTTAAAAGGCTATTTTTTATCTGCATTTTAGAATGTAGTTGATATTCATAAGCTGAATGACAGATGAACAATTTGATGAAAGCCGTAAGAGATGTTATCTTTTGCTAAAGTCTTTTATTCAAGTTATATATTTGTTCTACTTTCATGAGTTAAAGAAATGTCTATAATCAGAACAATATTTGCATCATTCAGTAAACCATTCAATTTCAAATGTTGTTGAGCATTAGGTATAAATTTATTTCAAACAAATCATTCAATGATGTTTGTGTCATCTATGCTGTTTTATTTATATAATAAACGATAGAAAAAATTTCTGCTTCTTTTCAAGGTTGTGTATTTATTTATTTATTTTTTTTTTCCAGTTATGAAAAGTTCATACTTATGCTTCTTCAGCATTTGCACATGCCAAAATCATTAGTCTCACTTAGGAGCCTTTAATAAATGGGGCCTATTTTCAAAGGTCACCAACGTATTTCAGGTCATATGTTACCAGAAAAAAACCTGTTTCACCAGTGTTATAAATATGTTCTACAGAGAACTTTCAGTGAATTCATCTGCATATTATTTAACTACTTCAGTATCAGCTAATTTGCCATGCTGATTTTTAAGTTTGGTTAATTAATTTGTTGAATATGTGCACTTAGTTTTTAAACACATTTACTTGTAAAATACTTTGGCATGAGCCATTAGCATTGAACCTGTTATGGGTTGCCCTCACTGCAATTTTGTCTGAGTCATTCAGTCATCACTTTTAGCATAACAAATTGTTTTTCTGTTATTTATTATGATGGTGTATCAGAATTCCTTTTTCTGTTTTTTTATTTATCATATACTATTGACTTTACAGTGCCATTCAGAATTCTGAGATGAATATGCCTTAATCCATTTTTTGAACAATTTCGCTGTTTAATTGACTGACATTGAAACATGCCTTTTCTTTGCATATCCTTCTGCACTTCCAGAATTAGAAACTCTTTTCCACATAATTGAAAATTCAAACTTTAAATTTGAAAAGATAGCTGTAATAATAATACCCTGTAGAAAATAACAAGCAGGATCAAATTAGAAAATTAAGAAAGAGCACAATTGGTTATGTTAACTAAACTTAAATTTCTCGGAATTTTCACACTGTTGTGCCAAAGAAAACCAGTATGGGCAACATTTCATTCTAAACAAGTATGTTTTGAGGCTTATTTATTTAGATTAATCAGAAAAATGCTAACCCACTCAAGGGCTGAAAGGGTGGTTGTGATTAATGTCAGTCGGTATATTTTCATTGGCAGGATCCTTACTAGTTTGAAAGTGACATACAAGAATCTTAGGAAAAAAATTGCTTTTATGATGCATACCTGCTTTTTCTTAAGTGTTACATTCTTTATTCGTAGACTTTATAAGGGGTGGGGGTGGAGGGTAATTCTTTTTAAAAATATTTTAATGGTCCAGTATTGGGAATGTGCAGTTTGTACTTCATACTTTATACATGCATACATTTCTTTCCCTTATAATATGATTGAAGTGTTTCGAATGAAAACTGCTTTATGGACTTGTGCTGATCTAAATACCAGGCTTTTGTATTCAATAATAAATATCTTAAATTACTTAGTTTCAGGTAATACATAATATAACACTATCTCAACAATCATCATTACCTCTGACCAACTGATGCAGTTTTTGTTTTGATTTAAGTATGACATCATATCATGAAATATGTGATAATTAAGATTTTAACATGCAAGTTTGGAATGAATTTTCTGTGTTATGGTTATGTTTTAATAATAAATATCTATTGCAATTGTAAGCAAAGTTCATGTGTGTGACTGTAATGAAGCTTGCTAATGTAAGTGAAAAGGATTCAAGGTAACAAAGAAAACATTTTTTCAGTTTCACTCCCCATGATACATCTGCAGTTGGCAATGAAAGTGTTCCCAATGACACTAATAAGCCATGAGATGTAAATAATGAAGACCAGATTTTGTGCAGCTTAACAGGTCAATTAACAAAGATTTGCTGAAGCTTTGATTTGCATGTTATAGTCTAACCTGTAGAATACTACCAGCATGTCTTTTACATCCATACAGAGTAAAATTTTCCGATTTCTTCAAAGGATATGCTTATCTAAATACATAAATGGCAAGGAAAACAGCAGTCATGTATAGAAATAAACAAAAGGCTTAAACACATTTTCAAAAATCTTATAAGAAATCTGTTATTTTTAACAAGTTGATAAAAATTTAAGAATTTTAGCAATAAGTTGAAAAATGTAGTTAATAACTGATTTCTCTCTTTTTTTTTTTTTCCAAATGCTGTTTTGTGACAGGTAAAAGAGGGAAAAAAAACTGCATAATAGACTAAAGGAGACTGATAGCTTCATTTAAATAGTAGTCTGAACTGAATTTTGTTAGGATTTTTTATATATTATAATACTAAATTGTAATAATGTAAAAATTAATGTCAGTAGGATCAGACCCAGCAGTGGCCAAGGAGATAAGATTGCTGAACACTGTTAGTTTAATTTGGGTTGTAATTCTGCTGAACAAAAAAGTGGCTGCATGAATATTTTCATGCTTTTTCTAAAGTGCATGAGCTAGTTTAGGTCCTCCGTAAGGCATTTTCTCCTCATAGGTAGAAAGTCTTTATGCTTTGCTATATTCAAATAAAATGTGAATAGGATCTATAACTACAAATAATAGATTCCATATTATTTGAATTTATCAAGGCAATATGGAAACATGCAGACTGTAAATACCAAAATATCAATGTCTCCTAGAAACAATATTTTTTATTTATCCTCTTAAAATTCCATAAAAACCTAGTGGTGACTTCCTGATCCAGCAATCTATGCATCTGTAGCAAAGACCAAAATGAGGCATATATATGCCCTCTTTTTTGAATATATATATTTTTTATTTATGCAGTACTTGACTCTGTAATTTACTACTATCTTGATTATGGCAAGGTGTAATTTTTAAATAGTATGCTGTGTGTTAGAAAGGATTTATTAATATTTCTTAATGAAATAATTTTACTATTATAAATATACAAAGATAAAATGACATTAATTTCTGCATCAGTAATTATATGTCTGATATTATATCAAGTTTGCAGTGTAATGTCATTTATCATTCTGCTGTTGTACCTTAATAATTGAGCTATACATATGTAGCTTTTTGTTATCTAATCAGACACACATTCATTCCTGCTTATGCTGGAGAGTCAAAATTCTGTTGTGTAATTTATAAACAGAGGCAAATAAATTCATTTGAAGTTGAAATCCTAATTGAATAGGCAGCTATTTGGAACTGTTATGTTTTTCATTACAACAGCTAAGACTGAAGCCCACATTTTCCTACATGTTTGTTATAATCAGTTAACCATTTCCTACCAGAAATATGTTCATCTTAACACTTTACTGATTGCTAGCGGTTCAACAGCATACTCATGTCTGACCAGCCACTCAGCTCTGTTTCTGTTTAGACTGTAACATGGGAGTATTATCTGTTCTTTTCGTATGCTCAGATAAAATGACCCACTTCCTGTATTTATAGGATAATTTAGATTTAATAAAAATCTTTTATTTCTATGATATTAAATTATACTTTTTTATCTATTATAGCAGTTTCATTTTATTTGTTATATGATATACCATATTGTTTTGACATAC